CCAAGCACTCCTCAAACTTAGTTCAAGTGGGTCCTTGTAGATGACTCATGAAAACTTTCAAATAAAATAAAATAGGTACCAAAAAAATAAATCAAACTGGACAAGAAACAATACTCACAAACAGTATTCCTTCAGAGACAAACTTCTTTTTTGTCTGACTTTTACAGTGCTACAACTTGGCCTTAGCAATGCAATTTATTGTTTTTGTTGTACGTGGAACAATTGCAGCTCCGAGACTGCTCGGGCAAATGGGTGCCGTTGTACAAAAATGTGTATAAATTGTCACTTGAAACAGCATTTCGAGCAAAATTAATTTGAAAATTATCATTAATCGTCTATTAAAGAAAACAAATACCGTACCCAATGCCAATGTGAATGACAAATGTAAATAAATACTATATGCCTCAGGAAATCAGAAGCCCTGAAATCGTTAGTTTCATTTCAAGCCAGCCAATTCAAAAGCAACCTTTTCTTTGAATGGTGATGTGAACACTATTCCTCAAAATACCTAATAGAATTCATGGATTTTCTCTCCAAAAGCTAACCAAAACCAAACCACATGATAGTAGAAAGTTATTTGTTACACAGCTGTTGTCAAGCCACTAGGCTGAAGTAACACTTTACCGGAAATATCTAGTTCCCCTAATGTTGACCTAACCATAGTTTGAAGTAATTAGGTCAGGGTGGTTTTACATCTCCACACTGCAGGAAAATAAATCGATGAAACTGATCCGTTCTGTGTGATTTTCAATATCCGAAATACAATTGTAAAACTGTGATGTTAGTACCCAAAATATGGAAAGTATCTGTTGGCTTTATCCTGTCAAGAAACCAACCCATTATATGACAATATCGATTAATTTCAACATGTAGTGACATAGCCATATAAACTGACATAATTTTTTTTCAAAGAAGCTAAAATGACTGCTCGTTCCAACATATCCACAAGAAGAAAGCAGAGTAGGGGTGGTTCAAAATGTGAAAAAAAAAGAAATCTGAAGCTAGATTATAGAAATCGTTTTGACAATAGTATCACATTAGCTCAGCAAGCAGATCCTTCAGGTGCAAGATGATCTTGATGTGTCACAGGATCAGTGACGAAATATCAAGCTACAACATGTACAATATTAATATGAAAAAAAAGACAGATCTTGAGCCTTATATACCTGGCAGTAGGGCTGCAACGATACAGGAAGGTCATGATACGATACATATCTCGATATTCTGGTGACGATACAATGTACTTCAGTCTGAATAGTTCAACTTCAGGGGGTTTTTTTTCATAAAAATTAAAATGTCAACATTGTCAGGGGTGATGATGCCCTCTGGGTTCTGACAATGTCTCCTGCTGTTGAGTCTTAACGGAGGAGGAGTCATAGGGGTATAGATGACCAACACAACAGTACTTGCTCTGCCCACCTAACACCATCTACGATGTGCGTTTCAGAGTTTGAAAAAGGACTAAAAAAATAGTAGTTGTTTATGATTCATAGTGTAACAAAATATTTAGCGAGTGTTATGCGCTTTTAAAAACCACATAGTAACCATGGTAACCCTTTTGCGAATTCAGATGAACGAACAGGTATAACAAACTTGGTCAACAAAAATATGAAATTTCATCACATCACCAGACACGATGATTTACCATTAAATTAGTATTTCCTGTTCTCATTGGTTTAATATATGCAAAGATTAAGATTACCATGTGTATTTTCTCATAAACTAAGCCTGAAATAGCAATCAGTTGTACACATTTTTTTCACATCATCTACCGGGGTGATACAGTTAAAAAGTGCCCAATAATACATCTTTATGCAATTTTATGCAATAGTTGGAAGAAATTGTATCTAAACTTATTGTTTAATAGGGAATATATATTGTGTTACTTTATTTGCAGCTTTTTCTATATATATTTCAAATTATACGAACCATAAGCATAGCACTTTTGTCAGGTGATGACTATTGCAGGATATGTTTCCGTACGGAACAATTTATGCGAAAAGATGGTGTTGGCATACAATAGTCAAATTGCCACAAATATGGCTTTTAACGAGTCAAAGTACGGCATTTATAATATATGTGTCCATTCTCTGGCAACTAAAGATTGTTTCAAGGCATCAAAAGCGGTAATTTGACCGCTGTTGCTGTACATAACAGTGAGTTTTGCAATCTACCAATCACTTCACACATGATTGACAAAATTAATGTTAACAATATTGTATGAAATTTTAAATAAAATTAATAAAATATATTACAAACATAAGTCCAGATACATAATGAACATGTTTTATAACCAGATAGTATAATCAGGGGATTGAATAGCGTTCTTCAGTTTGAACTTGTTGCCTGGTATTTCCAGTGTTCCTGCAGTGATCAGTTGATGTTGTTTTTTTTAGATGGGGGGGGGGAACATGATTTCAGTGTAAGATTTGAGCTTATTAAAAATTTAAGTAAGTTTAGGGAGCCATGCATTAGGGCTAGCCTATACTGAAGGGTGCAACAGCGAAAGAACACTGTACTTAGATTTGCATTCCACCTTGTGGTGTATCGATATATATGTGTATCGTATTGTGGGTCAAGTATCGCGATGCATCAGAATTTCGGTGTATCGTTTCACCCCTACATGAAATAAACTGTGGACAGTGACATGATGAATGGGTCATTACATGGTATGGGCCATTGATTGATTCAGCTAAATCATCACTCTAATCAAATTGCTAGTCCAAAAACTGACAAAGCAATTTCTGACACACAAAATATGACATAAACCATATCTTTTCTCTTAAAATAATCATAAAATCTCAGATATTGATAGCTCACAAGTCACGTGAAAAACTCCCCACAGACATTTCAGAATAATGCATTCAGATTGGTCTTCCTTTGTGGCAATGATATTGAACCTACACTTGATGACAAAGAAAATATTTCATTGAGAGCACTTTTTTACACTGACCGGTATCTAATTTCAAACACTGACTTTAATCAATAAACATTGTGAAGTACTGTGCATCGGTTCCTGCTAAATGTGGCACATTGCAATTGTTCAAATAATTAAAACCAATTCAATTGTAGCCATTGTAGAACACTCATAAAATATTTCTATTTCAGATAATTTCTTCTCAATCACTAAGTTTGTTTATATTGTGAAACTAGCAACATCCTAACACCAGACAATGGGCATCAGCCACCTTAATCATGTACTGTGATGTCCTATTTTCAATGATACATTGCTCAAAACCTGTACTGTGCCGGTACCTATTGCAAAGGTTGCTTTATCTACAGACCTAAATCTTTCAGGTGACATCTCTATTTCGTCAGTGCCAAAGCTTTCCTTGTCTGAACAAGGATAACTTATGTGAAAAGTGTGTGCATAGCTATAAAGTGTGAAATAATCTCCTTCCTTGTTAAGCAATTTTATAAATTAAGGGACATCAGTGACTGAACACATAGTTAACCTTTCAAATGCCATCTCCCTTATGTTAGCTTCTTGAAGCACTATAAATATCTAATTTCACCAGGCATTGCAAAATAGTTTCATCATTCATTTAATCTGAGGCAAAATGCAATATCTATGCTATTAGCAATTATTTCTCATACAGACATCGATGTTTTAACTACATATTATGTATGATACTCCTTACATTCTAAAGCACAGCATTCGGTTACACATTACAACTATTATATTCAAGTTTGTTATGTACAGCATTGATGATTCAGAATGTAATCACCAACGTGCTACATGACATGTCAAAATGCGCAAGTGGTGGAATTATTCCACAAGACATTTCCTTCCAAAAGCAAGCATATTATTAGACAAGTCAACAAGGTCATATAATGACAAAGTACAGTACTAACATATGTAAGGTTACCAATCACACCTTGATTGATACAGGCCACTAGCAAGCAGAAGTATAGAAAGCAATGACACAGATGTGTGGGTGTGATTGGATTCATTCAACACCATGACAAGTCCCCTAGAAAACTTTTGTATGATGTTATTTGAATGTAAATCAAATACATGCATCATATCAACCTGAATGTCATGCAAGGTTAGGGAATGAAATGAAACATGAAGCAAAATGCCAAACCATACAACTATTATAAACTATTTTCAGTGTCCATTCTTAACACTAATTGAATCCAACAAATTTGCAAGCAAAAATAAGGAAGAAAGAAGAAAGAAAAAACATGCAAACATGAAAGTAAACTCACCCAAGAACTTAGGACCAGACAGAAGTAAAATCAAAGCTGCCTCATCATAAGACATGAAAGCTGCCAGCGTACTCAAACAAGACATGTCTTTTGTCCAAAAAAAATAAATAAACCAAGCTTTACATGAATTCGGTGATGAAATGAAAGCACCAGCTAAGCATTAACTGGCGTAATCACTGCATTATTTAAAGAGTGACGGACACCCAGCGGGAAATTCACACCAACACAACCCGCTGCAGCAGCACACGACACAGGCAGGGAGACACGGGGAGCACTAGTCCCTCCTCAACACAGTGAGTTTATCGTACATGTTCATATACATATTATGTCCCTTGAAACATATGTTGTTACATTTAAGCATAATCATTCTAGAATGTCTAATATTTCATTGAAGCAAACAAAATCACCAAAAGTTCACAATCGGTTGTGTGCAATTTCATCATATGCATTTAGCTCAATGAATTTATTCATTTCAAGCAATATCAATGTGATCGTAGTATGTTTTCTCAAAGTATAAAATATATATTGATCAGACATCAAAAGATAAAAATGTTTGTTTGTGTGATCATTAATTAATGAAGTCAATGCTTTTTGCATGTCAAAACTGTGCAGGGTCAACAGTGCAGCAAATATAATTTCAACAGAACACACAGTTGAAAAAGCAGGATTCTGCACTAGAATTCTACTGCAATTTAGGGTTTTGTTCAGTTAAAAAGCACACTTAGGCAATGTGACAATTCATTTAACAATGCTATCCTACTCAAAATGAACAGTCAGCACAAACTTACCTGTTTTCCGTCCACTTCAATATCTGCTACATAATTTTCAAAAACAGTTGGCACATAAACTTCAGGGAACTGATCTTTGCTGAAGACGATGAGAAGACATGTTTTACCACAGGCACCATCCCCAACTATTACTAGCTTCTTTCTTATAGCAGCCATGGCTAGTTACTTCCTGAAAAAAAAAAAATCACTATGAGTACAAGGAAACAACATCCCCAATGTCCATGAGTACAAGTAAACAATGATGTTCAGGGAATAATCGAGTATGCACCAGTTGTTCAAATATTACAAATCATCTTGGCACATCTGGTTGTGCAAAAGGTAAGCTGTGAATATTTGACAGTAGTCAGTGGACATGGCAAATTTAAATATCCTGTGAATGTACAATAGGCAAAGAGAATCCTCAGAATTACCTTCCTTCTAAGTTGGGTATCCAGACCCCAGAATCAATACAATGTACGCAGGGGAATAAAATACACTACTATATACCAAAATGTGTTGTGATATTTATAGATGTGCTAAAGTTAGAAAAGGAACGTTTCTAATAAAAGATATGAGTCACTATCGTCCACTGAAACTACAAAATGTTTGTGTCCAATCATATGCTGAACAGAAGGGTGGGGTCCTAATGAGATGACAGTTTGCGACCTTATTGACTTTGCCAGAAGATAAGCTCCAGAGTATACCATATTGGCAATGTAACCACAAATAAATCGAGCAAAAAGCAAGATGTACGTACACACACAGTGTTCAGAAAGACGAAATTGATCTGTAAACTATCTTGATCGTACGACACGAGGAAAGAGGTCGAACGGCTTTGTTTCCGTTGCTCATAGAGTGGATGCATTCGATTCCTTATGCCTAAATCTCACGAATAATACTTAATTTCAACCAAAACCTAAAATTCTTAATGCCAAGGACGAGTTGGGAGTTGTTACGTTCGATGGGAAATAACAAAATACACCAGAAAATGTTTCAGTCTACCGGTCCTCCCTGGCTGATGATGTCATCAACATGGCGATTTGTTCAAACAGTCATGTATCGTTCAATTTGAGCGCCATTTTGTCAGTAGATAAAACGATAAGTACGACTTAACTTGCTCCAATTCGTCAATAATTGCATATAGATCTTCAGTGAAACGCGCAAAACTTACTAGATTCAGCAACGTTCCTGAAAATGAAGATTGAGGTGCTAGGTTAGCCCAATGCAGTATTACCATAAATGGCGTTTGCTCATTATCCGCCGATAGCAAATTTACAAGTCAAATAAATCTAATACGGACACATCGATACAATACACAACCTATCTAGAGATAAGAAAACACATGCAAGTCTAAATACCTGAGGAAAATCCCCGTTTTGGAGGTTATTTTGATGTGATATTGTCGTTTTTCCGATCGTGATACATCAACGGTCAACCACACCTCAATTGACGCTAGAGGGGGATAGTGCAATTGCTTCTGGAATTTGTTGTGACGTAGTTCCGGTACTTTCGAGCTTTCACTTCCGGATCAGCTGTCGACTGAACAAGAAGTAAATAAAATACAAGCTTGTTTACATTAGCGAAAATCGTGACAGTATTGGGATATTCATATGATGATCATGTCATTTTTCTGTTTCTGAGGTAACATGTTTGAGAAAATGTAATTGCTATGAATGCAATAGATTTGGATTGTGAAAATTGATTTAGCCACTCAGTCCTTGTTTCACAGGGCTCGTCTGGCATAGACTTGACATGGTGTGTATTTTATACCATTGTGCAATACCGTACTAACATTTTCGTACGTTAAAAGCTTAACATACACGTATCATAAAAAGCTTTTATCTTTTTCTATATGATAACCATATTTTTATGATCTATAAGAAAACAAAATGATTTCTATATAGAATTGAGACACTTGTACTATAAGACAAATAGACAAAAATGTTCATTTTCATCCAGCAGTGACATTCCATTGATGACAAAACGTAGTGCTATGAATGAGTATGATGTCACTCATCATCGTTAAAATGCAATGGACCGTCTCCGTGGGCTAGTGGATAGAGTGTTTGCCCGGATAGCAGAAAGTGTATGGTTCGATTCCCCATATGTTGAATACAGGTGCAGGCTAAAACGGCACCTCAGTAAAACGTCACCAATTTCTCTGTCGAAACAGGCCCCGCATTTTGCGAAAACGGCTACTATGTGTCGGGCGAAAATGGCGCCTCTATTTTTAATAACAATAACGTCTTCTTCAGTCCGGCAAATTTCTCTATAACGGGCCACAGAAAGTCTGGTTCCACATACACCATGGGTCCACTGGTCACAGTTATCACAGGATACAGCATGTAGATTTTTTCTGACATTCTTCTCGCATGCAACACATCGAAAAGCCATTATGAATAATTGTGATCTGACAGCAGCATGTTAGGCGTCTAAATACAGTTTCAGCTTAAATTGAGTAAAGGTACTTAAAACTTCAAAGCGTATAGTGTTTTCACAATAAGTTAACTGCGCCTCCAAATCAGAGTCTGTGAGTCTGCGAGTAAATTGGAGGGGCTAATTTCTTACTTGTTTTATTTTACAATAATAAAAAAATAAGGTGCTGTTTTCGCTTGATTCGAGGTGCCGTTTTCACCAATCGGTGCCGTATTCACCCGGTGACGTTTTGCTGAGGTGCCATTTTCGCTATAACCCGTTGAATACCAACAGAGGTTGAAAGATTATGGTACTTGTTGTTAGACTTCCTGGCATTCATAAAGGGGATAAAACAAGGCCTGGTCGGTATGTATTTTGCTATATAAGTGCAATAATCTTGAACACAAGATTAAACCCCATTTCCCCTCACCTGCAATGCAATGGTATCACAGCTGAAAGAAGGTCGAGGTGCAACTTTCAATCACTTTTAATCACATTCACTTTTGAAGGCATGGCCAGTAATATAAATTGTTAGGTCCGAATGACTTTCTTTCAACCAGGTCAAACATCCTGACCACCCATTCCCCATTTTATTTGGCTCTTATTCTGCCAAAAAGCTTTTTGTTCTTATTGAGGCAAATTACATATTATATGTTCTTTCATGATTGATAACCTGTTCCATTTTTTAATTTGAACTTTTGTTGCTGGTCCAAGATTAGATGGTTTGGAGGAGTTACAGTCCATATCAATATCCCCAAGATCCAATGTAAATGTGCCTGGTAGAGTAGGCCTCTGCCCAATCTAATAGAGAGAGACTATCGTCACAGACTTGATTCTGTCATTTTCAAGGTGTGTAGGCTAAATCTCAAAATGTCTGCATGCCTCAACATTGTCACATGGTTGGCAGGCTTCCACTGTTGTCATATGGTCGTGCAGTGTCCCCAGTTGTCATGTGGTTGTCGGTATCCATCATTGTCATATGATTTGTCGGTGTCTACAATTGTCATGTTGTTGGTATCCATCATTGTCATTTGGTCACAGCTAGTTTGAAACACGACATGTTTATTTGATGTTAGCAACATTAGAAATTCTCCAACTCACTGACAGTTTTTATATTAGGGCTGCAAAAATACACCTAGGTCATGATATGATGCGTATCTTGATACTTACATCGCAATTCTATGATACACATAGTGACAATAGAAGACAAGAGATAAATGAATTAAATTTAGTTTATTAAAATGAAAAATTAAATGAAAGTGAATGAATGTTCACAAGGCATAAAATATATATTGTAATGAGTATTTTAACTTAATGAATCATCTGCCATTTCCCTGTAATGGCTTTCTTCGACATGTTAGAGACCGCACAGCCAATCAGAAAGCTTGAACTGCTGCTGATATACAAAGCGAGCTTAGCCGCTGTATTTTCGAAGACGTACGTACGTACGTTTTTATGGCTCGGTTCAAATTTGAAATTCATTTAAAACCAATTAAAAGTATCTGTGATAAAAGTTTTAAAAAAAATGTAGTGAAAAATTGAGATACAGCACCTCACAAATCCAGCACCTCATCGTATGGAGTGAATCGCGATGCATTGGTGTCCCGGGATATCGTTTCAGTCCTAGTTTATATTTGTTATGAATTCCGGTAACAATAGTTATCTTCCTTAGACTGTAAATGCTGCTGCTAACACTAACAATAACACCAGAAATGGGCTTCAAACATTATTCCAATGTGGGGAACTGAAGCAGGTCTTTAGCGTTATGAACAAATGCCTTAACTATTAGCCTACCCAACCACCCCTATCACTGCCGTGATGTTGCTCAAATTCTGTGAGATCTAAAACAACTCATTCTCCTTGTGGACGTGGTCACAGTTGCTGCAGTTATCAAGGCGACTCAATTAGTTGTGCAGAGTTATGTCCCTTAAGCATGCCAGAAACCTATGGTTTTTAAACATTGTTAGGCATGATTATGTATCTAGGTTTGTTAGTATCATGTATACATGCTTGTGGGTTTCACCAAAGTGCTAAACATCTAAGACATGTATCATTTTAGGAGCTCCTCTGTCATCAAGATCACACACAAAATGATAGACTGAAATACTGTTTAATGTGGTTTTAAAAGTCGATGTTAGCTTGGTTTGTGTGGAGGATACTAATCTTTGCCATGTTTTTTTCTGCAGACTGTAGCAATGGAACCTGGCTACATTCTGTGGGAAGCTGTCCGAACCAATGATGCTGATACAATAAAGCTGCTCCTCAAACCCTCTACAGACACAAATACAAACTGTGCTAAAAGCACCCTTGATTATGTTCATGAAGGCTTATGCCCCATACATCTGGCCATCATCAATGGAAATGTGGAACTCCTTCAAACACTGCTGGCATCGGGTGTCTCCATGAGCAGGTTTCAGATAAGACATGCTATATCATACATTTCACATGAAAACAGACTCATTGACAAATTGTCACATGATACAAAATTCTCCATTTTGTCTCTCCCTCTATTAACCGATGACCCTCACATGCTGAGGGAGCTGCTGAAGCATGACCCTGCTTTGTGTAGTGATGACAAGGGGGAAGTGTTGGGCGTCGCCTGTGTCCTGGGACAGCTGGCACTGCTGCATATTCTGTTAGATGCAGGAGGATCCGTGTATCTGGAACGTTGTGAAGCATATGAGCAGTTTCGACAGCAGTCACTGCTCCTCTTTGCTGTAGATGACCCAGTTAATTATGAACTTGTGAAATTATTACTGGACAGAAATGTGTCCCTAGCTGGCCGAGATAAGGATGGAAACACCCCTGTACATATCGCAGCCAAGTATGGAAGTGGGGAGGTCGTGAAGCTGTTCCTTGATGCACTCCGGACGAAGAGAGAGCCTGTGTGCTGCGTCAACTCCAACACCCACTCCCCCTTCCACATCGCATGTCATCGCGGTCACCTTGGTGTGCTGAAGATTCTCATGGAGCATAAATGTGGGCGGCGGTGTCACCCTCAGGGACGGAAGTATCTCCTCCACTCCGCAGCGAAGGCTGGGCATGCCAACGTCGTCCACTACCTGCTTGATCTCGGACAGGACGTGAACCAGCTGGACAACTTTGGTGGGTGGTGTTTACACACAGAAACAACAGACCATTAACAAACTTACTTTTGTGTATGTGACTTTATCCTAGAATGTTTAAAAACAAAACAAAAGATTCTCTACATGTTCTTTCAATTACTGCCAGCTTTGAAATGTGTCCTGTGCAGAGTTGTGTTCCTTGAGCATGCCAGAAATCTATGATCCTGTGTTCAAATCCTAGTTCGCCCTGATTATGTTTCTAGGTTTGTCAGCACCATACCCATGCTCGTGGGTTTCACCAAACATCTGTATTGTGACACATATTGCAATGTATCCAATTAACATTTTTATGAGTCATAAAGCTTGAAGATGTAAGCAAATGAGATATTTTTGAGTGCAGTGAGAGAGAGAGAGAGAGAGAGATATGTCGCAGAAATGAAAGGAAGGGGCATTTAAGCCTTGATACGATTTTTTGCGCAATGTATCGTATTCATAAAAAAAAATCAGATTCAATCTGTTTTCTGATTATAGTGTATACACATCATGCACATGTATTCATTCTCTCTGTATGTCTAGATTGGTCTTATTGCAGCAAACACACCCCTGTCTCAGGCTGTTGTGAAGGCAAACAACATTGACATCACAAGACTGCTGCTAAATGCCGGCGCTAACCCCAACATCCCCCAGCCCCCCTACTACAGCATCATCATCTCCGCCGCGCAGAAGAGCTCTGTCGAACTTGTCACCGCACTCTTACAAAGTGAGTTTCAATTTCAATCAAATTCTGATTTACAGCCCACTATATTTTTAAATTTACCCTATGTCACGTTATGTATTTCTTACTTCTTCTTTCAATCCTATGTGGAAACGCGCTTGGACAAAGTTTCACTTCTTTGTAGTGAATATATCCAATGTATAGCGAACTGCATGACCTGATCATGTGATTACCCCTACCACATCATTCTCTATCTCATCACCACACTGGAGACGTGCACTGAGAGCTCGAGGATACGTTTTTTGTACCCCCGACCTAAAAGGTCGGGGGTATATAGTTATACCAAGGTTCTGTTCCCTCCGTCCGTCAATCCGTCCGTCCGTCCGAAAACTTTGTCTGCGCAATTTCTCTTAAACTATTCAGTGGATTCATCTCAAACTTAGTACATATAATCTGTGTCATATGGAGGGGTGCAGTCAAAAAAAATAAAATGTTTTTATTAATTTTCCATTTTTTATGAATTTTTCAAACCCTAACCCTATCCATTATTTAATTTGAAACTACTGACACACTAGTTGACACACTAGTTGACACACTTAGTGAGCCACGCTCACTTTTGCCCTTGTTCTATGCTGGATTTCCCTCAGACCTCGTATTGACTTTATGTTAAAGTCTGAGAGAAGATGAGTAAAGAACATAAAAATCACCTGACATGTCTTGACTGAAGACATACCTTCTCCACTTCGGACCTATGCTGCCACCCTCACAACGTATGCTGTAACTGTCATGGCCCTTGCAATACTAACAAGCGCTGTTCCCTGTGTCCCCATCTCATGGAATAATCCTTCAACATTTACCTACGCAAGTGCCACAGACAGGAAATCTAGGGACTCAGTACATGGGTCATCTTCCATTAAGAAATCTAAACAGTTGACTAAGCAAGTTGTCAACCTCCTCCGATGCTGTGGCCAAACCGCCTCCGGAATTCATCTTGCCTGCTCTATTGGTGACTGCGTTTCTTACAGCTTCCTTACAGACGTCGTCCCTACTGTGCCTGTTAAACAGTCCGTTCCTGATGCATCTGGGTCCCTGCCTCTGTCGGAACAACAAGTAACATTGGACGTTTGCAAGGTTCGCCAGGTCACACTCAGGATCGGCCCTCTCGGGATCAACTATTGGGGGATCGATGCTTTCGCAAGGACACTGCTGATTCATCACATACCACTCCTGTTCATCATGATTCAGAGGATGATTATACAGACTTGGCTCAGGGTTCGTCAACTCTCCAGTGATTATAATATTCATCGACAGGATGATCGCTTGGGATCATTCTAGGTACAGCAATTATGGAGACCACCCATGTCGTCCCCTCAGAATTTTGATCCTTTATTGGATAAACTTTAGCTCCAATAAAGCTCCAGCACTATAGCTGATCGTCTGTCTTGCTTCGCTGTTCCCTCCGCCGGTTCTGCAGACATCATAACACTTTCGGCGGACACTCCCTATGATTTCTACTGTCCTCTCGGCAACTGAGACTCTTTCTACTTCGATTTCCCACACTAAGTCTTCTGGAGAGGCTTTTATTAGAGGATTTGTTGTGATGATTCAGGGAAAGATCATGACCATCTTGGGCCTCCTCACACATCAGCAGGATCGATCACATCCCTTCGACGTCTGGGTGTTCTTTAGCAATGTCAGTGGGATGACCCATTTAAGGCATCCCTGTTACCAGCTTCCTTGGTGGATTCAGTCTCTCTTGGCAAGGTTCCAATCTCTTCCACTTCCACAGCCTCACTCCCACCTGCTGGACCCATCACCCAATACCCTTCATCTTTGCATCTGATGCATCTACATGTGTCGCCAAAGGGTATTCAAGGATAGTTGCCAAGACCATCACAGAGTCTCACCATTCCACTACTAAGACCCTACTAAATGGAAAACATTTGAGGCCAACTGTCAAGCTCACCAAGCCCACCCCTGCTTCTCTGCAACAGATTGCTGACTACCTCCATCATTTACAGTCTACTCTATCCACAGATGCTGAGCTTCAGTGCCTCATTTGGTCATCCATGATGGTGGACCAGTCCTTCGGTGCCAACTTGGGATCTCAACGTCATCTTCCGTCATTTGACTTCAGCAGAGTTGAACCTCTTGTTGACAAAGATATTGGGTTGATCACCTTCAAGACCGTCATTCTCCTGGCCCTTGCAACTGCTGCACTACTTAGCGAAATCCATGTTACAGAATGGGAAGGTTCTTCAGGGCCTTCGCTGAAATTTTATCGCAAAGAATCATTCCTATTCTTGTCTTAGCATGCTTCAATCCCTCAGGCATTATTGATAGCTTTGACAGTGCATTAAAAGAGATGACAAGCTGGTGCACCCTATTGTCTGTGGGGATGGTGGTCTGTCTTGTAGAATCAATTGGCTGGAGACCCCATCCGGATCAATTATAAGTCATATGCTGTATAGATTGCTCTTAACAGTTCGCGGGGGCACGGGTGTCCCAGTCGTCTAACGCGCCGCGATTCGCTGTGCAGAGTTGCGTCCCTTGGGCACACCAGAAAACTATGATTGTGGGTTCAAATCCCGGTTCGCCCCGATTATGTTTCTAGGTTTGTCAGCACCATACCCGTGCTCGTGGGTTTCACCGAAGTGGTAAAAGTCTGAGACCTGCATCACTTCGGGCTTTCCTCCCACATTTAGCTGACACGCCGTGATATAACTGGAATACTGTTAAAAGCAGCTTTAAACCCAACTCACTCACTCACTCACTCACTCACTTAACAGTTCGTGTAACGATGTCATACCTGATTGCATGCTGTTAGGTCCAACTAACGTATAATGATCATACCGCTTGTTATGGCGTGTTTAGCTCAGAGGAAGAGAATGATGTGGCAGGGGTAATCTTATCATCAGGTCGTGTAGGTCACAGGGTTACAGTAAGTGACCCATTTGTTTAAGCTCATTTCAATGTTGGATCTAAAGAAAATGGAAGACGTTCATAGGATAAGCATATAAATATTCGTTTCCTGGCAAATCGTTTGATGACTTCGGTCAAGGTCACTTCTTACACAATAAGCATACAAACAGCATATGGCTGTCCATACAATGCCTTTGTTTGTGTCCTAGATGGCGCCAGTGTCAACAGTGTGGACATCCTTGGCTATGCTCCAATCAGCTACGTGTCTACAAGACGAGACTCACCTGAAGGTAAACAATGCTGATACACATCTTAACATACACTACACTACACTAAACTACACTAAACTACACTACACTACACTACACTACACTACACTACACTACACTACACTACACTACACTACACTACACTACACTACACTACACTACACTACACTACACTACACTACACTTAACATACTGATACACTTGTGAACATACACTGATACAGTTGTTAGCATTACGTTTACACTTGTTAGAATATACTGATACAGTTGTGAACATATACTGATACAGTTGGTAGCATATACTGATACACTTGTGAATATATACTGATACAGTTGTGAACATATACTGATACAGTTGGTAGCATATACTGATACACTTGTTAGAATATACTGATACACTTGTGAATATATACTGATACAGTTGTGAACATATACTGATACAGTTGGTAGCATATACTGATACACTTGTGAATATATACTGATACAGTTGTGAACATATACTGATACAGTTGGTAGCATATACTGATACACTTGTTAGAATATACTGATACACTTGTGAATATATACTGATACAGTTGGTAGCATATACTGATACAGTTGGTAGCATATACTGATACACTTGTGAATATATACTGATACAGTTGGTAGCATATACTGATACAGTTGGTAGCATATACTGATACACTTGTGAATATATACTGATACAGTTGGTAGCATATACTGATACAGTTGGTAGCATATACTGATACACTTGTTAACATATACTGATACACTTGTGAATATATACTGATACAGTTGGTAGCATATACTGATACAGTTGGTAGCATATACTGATACACTTGTGAATATATACTGATACAGTTGGTAGCATATACTGATACAGTTGGTAGCATATACTGATACACTTGTGAATATATACTGATACAGTTGGTAGCATATACTGATACAGTTGGTAGCATATACTGATACACTTGTGAATATATACTGATACAGTTGGTAGCATATACTGATACAGTTGGTAGCATATACTGATACACTTGTGAATATATACTGATACAGTTGGTAGCATATACTGATACAGTTGGTAGCATATACTGATACACTTGTGAATATATACTGATACAGTTGGTAGCATATACTGATACAGTTGGTAGCATATACTGATACACTTGTTAGAATATACTGATACACTTGTGAATATATACTGATACAGTTGGTAGCATATACTGATACAGTTGGTAGCATATACTGATACACTTGTGAATATATACTGATACAGTTGGTAGCATATACTGATACAGTTGGTAGCATATACTGATACACTTGTGAATATATACTGATACAGTTGGTAGCATATACTGATACACTTGTGAACATATACTGATACAGTTGGTAGCATATACTGATACAGTTGGTAGCATATACTGATACAGTTGTTAACATATACTGATACAGTTGGTAGCATATACTGATACAGTTGGTAGCATATACTGATACAGTTGGTAGCATATACTGATACACTTGTTAACATATACTGATACAGTTGGTAGCATATACTGATACAGTTGGTAGCATATACTGATACACTTGTGAACATATACTGATACAGTTGGTAGCATATACTGATACAGTTGGTAGCATATACTGATACACTTGTTAACATATTTTGATACACTTGTTAACATATTCTGATACACTTGTTAACATTACATATACACTTTTTCGAATATACTGATACAGTTGTGAACATATATTGATACAGTTGTTACCATTACATATACACTTGTCAGAATATACTGATACAGTTGTTAGCATATATTGATACAGTTGGTAGCATATACTGATATAGTTGGTAGCATATACTGATACAGTTGGTAGCTCATACTGATACACTTGTGAACATATACTGATACAGTTGGTAGCATATACTGATACAGTTGGTAGCATATACTGATACAGTTGGTAGCATATACTGATACAGTTGGTAGCATATACTGATTCACTTGTTAACATATACCGTATTCGACGTAATAAGCGCCCCGCTCTAATAAGCGCCCACGGCGATATTTGCTAATATTTGCAACCCTTCCGATTGTTCAATGTACACAAGACTTATTTATTCGTGTGAAATACGTGTGCTATATGCATCCTTAATTATAGAAATTAAATTCTGGAAAAATATATCTGTCGTATATAAACATTTCAGGCTGTCAGCAAAAAAACACGAAATCTACGATCTTTCAACTCTGTTGTTTTTCACCAAAATAATATTCTAATAAGAGCCCCCTATTTCTAATTTTGAGAGCGCCCTGGGCGCTCATTATGTCGTATAAGGTACTAATTCCCGTCTTTTTGGAAAAATACACTAAATACACTAAATGATACATAAGTTACAGTAAGCTGTCAACACAGCACTCTCACCTGACTTCCTAGGGTTGACTATTGTGTCACCAGGAAGAGTAACTACAAGTTTATTTTGGCCTAGAATTCATCAAAATCCTGGTTGAGTCTGGAGCCAAAGTTGACCACAGACACGGCGATGGGAGTACATCACTACACCGAGCTGTTGCTGATGACAACCTACCAGCTGTAACCAGTTTGATCCAGCATCAAGCTGACATCTCCAGTCGGAACCGGATTGGGAAGCAACCCATGCACTTTGCAGTATCTGAAGGTAGGGAATGGTTAACATGGAGGCATGGTTCGCTGGCCTCTAGGTCAGCATGGATCTGTGGAAATGTTAATGTATTCAATAGGTAATGGGTTGTTGATGATATCAGCATATGTTATTAATAGTTATAAAACATGCTTTTATGCCAGTTGGATTTCATGGGTTGAGGGGGGTTGGGATAGCCTAGTGGTTAGAGCGCTATCTCATCATGCCAAAGACCCAGGTTCTATTCCCAACATGGGTACAATGTCCATTTGTTTTGTCACCCACCATGGTATTGCTGGAATGTTGCTAAAAGCAATGTAAAACCATACTCACTCACTCAGTTTGAGTTTATTACCAAACACTTTGTGTTGTAAGGAGTACCAAAATGACCAAGCATACATTTTTTTCTCATTTGAAAAGGATATTCCTGTGTCATTAAGTGTATCTTTCTTCCCAGTGGATTTCAATTTTCATTCTGTATTCTATAAAGCAATCATGGAGCTACTGCTGTGATAAGTCTGTGTTAAAGCAGGAGAGCTATAGGGCCCTCATCCTCAATGGTCTACCTTAACAGAAGGATGTTGGTATATTTTCAGAGAGTGCGAGGATTCTGCTAGACAGTGGTGCCGAGTTGGATGTACAGGATGAGATCGGCTACACACCGCTGATGAGCGCATGTCGGCACAAGAATACTGTCGTTGGCCGTTTCCTTATCCGTCAGGGTGCCAACATCAACATGACAACTGTCAATGGTGTCTCGCCACTTGCTCTTGCAATAGGTCATGGTAAGTTCAACGCATCAAACACTATTATCTGTCTTTGTTATACACTCACTGCCAAAAGAAACGCTTACCATAGAAACATTAAGATTTTTTTTTTTTTTTGTAGTGCCTCACTCAGCAATATTCCAGCTATGTAACGGCTATCTGTATATAATTGAGTTGGGATCAGACAATCCAGTGATTGACATCATGTGCATCGATCCACGCAATTGGGATCGATGACATGCATCAACCAAGTCAGCAAGCCTGACCACCCAATCCCGTTAGTTGCCACTTACGACAAGGGGTGGTCGGTAGCCTAGTGGTTAAAGCATTCACTCGTCATGCTGAAGACCCAGGTTCGATTCCTGACATGGGTACAATGTGTGAAGGCCATTTTTGGTGTCCCCCACCATGATATTGCTGGAATATTGCTAAAAGCGACATAAAACCTCACTCACTCACTCACTCACTCACTCACTCACTCACTCACTCTAGCGACAAGCATAGTCGCCTTTTACAGCAAGTATCAGTTGTTGAAGACCTATTCTATCCTGGATCTTCACAGGTTGTACATAAAGAAGAGACGTTTCCAATGTGTACCACTTAATGACAAAACTAACAATCAGTCAAGTGTTACAACAGAGCGTCTTTATTCTTATCACAATACGCTGCACGTGATTTCCAAAATCAACATGCTAATCCTGCATCTTGAGTCATGGATCTGTGACTTCATGTGTGATGTGGTCATGAGCCTCGGTTCACACAACATAACAGTATGTTCATTTATGCATCGAACCAATCAAATGAATATGAGTAATTCTTCATATATTAACCAACATGTATGGTTTTCACGTTTCTTTTGTCGGTGAGCATGTTGATTAAATATGTTTGACTATTACTGTAAAGAAAATTAAGAAGGGGGAGAACAACACTCAGCTGAGACATGTTTGACATTTCTAAAACTACACAGCATACAGAGCTGTAAATTTGGATGAATGATCCCAGATATGGTGACTCTGACAGGTGCTCACAGAAATCTGATCTCATCGAAAGTGTCACTTTTGGCCATTACTCAGGCATTGTAAAATTATATGCAGTTTATCATCCCAAACTGGCTTCCACACAAGATATCACTTGGGTCAGACACTACAATGAATTGCATCACAATGATTTGCAGACCATTGTGACATCACATTCAAATTACATCACTACTCTCTGAGCTGCTAAAGGGGCACGGGTGGCCCAGTCGTCTAAGGCGCCATGACTCGCTGTGCAGTTGCGTCCCTTGGGCATGCCAAAAACCTATGATTGTGGGTTCGAAACCCGGTTCACCCCGATTATGTTTCTAAGTTTGTCAGCACCAAACCCTTGCTCGTGGGTTTAACCGAAGTGGTAAACGTTTGAGACCTGCATCACTTCGGGCTTTCCACCCACATTAAGCTGACACGCCACAATATAACTGTAATACTGTTAAAATCGATGTTAAACCCAACTCACTCACTCACTCACTCACTGAGCTGCTGAAGCTGGTCAGCTGTACATTTTACACTCACGATTCTGGAATTGATGTTTATAAACTGAAAAGGTTGGAAGAATGATTTTGGATGACAAATAAGATCTCACCCTGGCATCTTTTGATATCAAATATATCAACACTCGTTGATAAAAGTTTAAACCTCGTGTTGATATATTTGATATGATACTCCACTTACACACAGCTACATTTTCAAAATGTCTTCCTATACCGTTGTGTTTCAGATCTGACATCACTTGTCCGTGAGCTTGTCCTGGCAGATGTAAAGAACCTCAACGCGCCTGTGTTTGGACATTTCAGCAACATGTTGGAGCTGGCGCTATGTCTCGAGTCTAACTCAGCAATCTGTGATATCCTGCATGCTGCCGGCACCTACATCCGCCCGACGTTCTATGAAGTGTCTCCGGAACTCTGTCCCCAGGATTATCTGAATATCCCCCACTGTCTCGGTGTCTACAAGCCCTATGCTTCACTCAGTCTCAACGGGATGTCGTGGGCCGAGTTCCTCACTGAGCTCAACATGAAGCTGGACATTGCCAAATACAGAAGTCCCCTGTCTCTGCAGCTACGTTGTGGCCACTTTCTCAGGTGGCATTTTGATAATGATTGTAGGAAAATCCGTCAGCTTCCCCTGCCAGAAACTATTATTAACGGAGTGCTGCTACTAGCATGATGTTGTGCACGCTAATAGTGAAGGCCTGCCAAGCTCACAAACACACCTCAGATAAATTGTTTGATAGGCATTACTTAGAAGTTGACGGATGACAAAGTAGACACAATTTTTGGATAACAACTTCTTAATTTACTGGAAAGTATACTTGCTTGACAACGGTATAAGGATCTATACTGAAACACCGCCTTTACAGTAAATAAATAAGTTGTCATCCATAAATTGTGTCTACTTTGTCACCTCTCAGATAGACAATGTTTATGCCTGTGCATACTACAATGGTCTCTTTAATATTGGAGAGTGGGTTACCTCCTTATTATTCGGAGATAAATGTGGTCAGTAGTTATCTCATGATAGGGAGGAACCAGTGGCCTGTGGTCATCTCATTATAAGGAGGAACCAGTGGTCAGTGGTCATCTCATTATAAGGAGGAACCAGTGGCCAGTGATCATCTCATTATAAAGAGGAACTGATGGCCAGTGGTCATCTCATTATAAGGAGGAACCAGTGGCCAGTGATCATCTCATTATAAAGAGGAACTGATGGCCAGTGGTCATCTCATTATAAGGAGGAACCAGTGGCCAGTGGTCATCTCATTATAAGGAGGAACTGGTGGTCTGTGGTCATCTCATTATAAGGAGGAACCAGTGGCCAGTGGTCATCTCATTATAAGGAGGAACCAGTGGCCAGTGGTCATCTCATTATAAGGAGGAACCAGTGGTCAGTGGTCATCTCATTATAAGGAGGAACCCGTGGCCAGTGGTCATCTCATTATAAGGAGGAACTGGTGGCCAGTGGTCATCTCATTATAGGGAGGAACCAGTGGCCAGTGGTCATCTCTTTATAAGGAGGAACCAGTGGCCAGTGGTCATATCATTATAAGGAGGAACTGGTGGCCAGTGGTCATCTCATTATAAGGAGGAACCAGTGGCCAGTGGTCATCTCATTATAAGGAGTGGCCAGTGGTCATCTCATTATAAGGAGGAACCAGTGGCCAGTGGTCATCTCATTATAAGGAGGAACTGGTGGTCAGTGATTATCTCATTATAGGGAGGAACCAGTGGCCAGTGGTCATCTCATTATAAGGGGGAACTTGTGGCCAGTGGTCATCTCACTTTGATAATATTTGCCAGATTTCCAGGAATTAATATTTCTTGAACTGACATTAGGACCACTGAGAATTAGTCGTGTGGACAGGAAGATATTTTCATTTTATTGATCATTGTCAGTTTTGCAAATTCATTAGGAATAAAATACTAACCAGTTGTAAATTGTTGTAATGTTCTACCAAACTGAATACACCATGAGAACATTTTATGTATGTACGTGTGTGGGTATATATGTGTGCATGTTTGATTAACATTTTTTGTTAGAGCCTATTACTTGTGAAGGTCAAGGTGACAACCCATATGAAGTACAGCTTGTTCATGAAATGTTTATCCTACCAAGATGACTGGTGATGTGTAATGCAGCATGAACAGATGTGATATGTGTCGTATCACACGCCTAGCATTCTCCTCACAACTAATGGGAAGCAGGGTAGCTTTTGTGACCAACAGCATCCAGCCTACGCTCATCAGGACTTTACTTAGTTTGCAGTGAATTGTCAAATGAAAGCATGTCATAATTCCTGCTTTTCACACACATGAACAGAAATTAGCTTCAATCCAAGAGGCATTTTCATATATTTAAGACTTCAGTGGGATAAATAGAGGTCATTAGTAGATAAGTCATGTTACAGTCCTCTGTAAATCCACAACATTCAAACGATAATGTACTAATCATTGACATGACACATCCATGAAAAAGAAGCAAATGAATGGCAACAGTGCAAAGGTAAAAGACCAGATTCAATGTTGCCAGTTCAGAAGTTTCTAGACTAACAAACCAAAGTAACAAAAGAGTAAACATAAGAATAGTACTGTGTAATGTTAGATCTCAGAAGATAACAATCAATAAACATGTGGACTGCCATCTTAGTGACTTCAACTCCGCCCATCTGGGATGCAATTTTTTAATACTGGCCCATCAGCAAAACAGGCCATCTCAGACTGTTGTGTATTTTGAACACTGTTGTATAGGACTAACACCAGTCTTTGTGCTACTGTCTGCCCAACAATCTTAGCACTATGACTTTTGTAATGCATTAGTGTGCATGGACTACACAATCTAAGCACTTCAACTGTCATAAATCTTTGTTTAAAGGAATTAGTTTCTACTAGGTCTGGGACGGGTAACTCAGGTACCCGGGGTTGGTGGGTACTGAGTAGGACCCTGGTACCTACAGGACTACCCGGACCCGTGGTTAGTCACGTGATATGTTGTTTAATGGCAAAAATTATCTAGAACTCTATGGTTACACTACAAGTCACTAATGTTCGCATTTCTTTGTGACTATGCACCCATTCCTTCTGATTTTTTATATGGTTGAATAAAGATATTACTTAATTCAGCTTCAGTGTATGAATGACCAGATTGTTTAATACATGTATCTAAATACGTTTTGCTAGGTCTATTCTTAAAATGTTCCCAATCGGACATTTTGAGACATCTCCTTAGACCTACAGTGGGTACCCGGGTAGGGTCGGGTAATAGGGGGGGGTGGGGGGGTACCCGGGTTGTAATTTTGGACTCGTCCCAGCCCTAGTTTCTACAAACTTTGTTCTATATCTGCTTTGCGGAATGGCCAATACAAACAAAGAGTGAATGGAAACTAAGATGTGTGCACCATATACAATACAAGACTTTTGCTGTTAATCAGAAACAGGTTAATGTTATTTGAATGACACGGTTGAGGAGCGCTGGGGTAGCCTCGTGGGTAAATTGTTCGATCATACACTGACGCAGTTCGTTGGTACAATGTGTACCGTGATATGTCTGGGATATTTTATAAAGTAGTGTGAAACCATATTCACTCACTCACGCACAGATCACAGTTGTTCACACCTGCAGACACCCTCAACTATTCAGTGTATTGTTACATCCATTTCATGATAATTACCTTGGACCCATTGTACAAATATATCCAATACAGCCCATGCAAGTATATAATATAATGTTTGGCAAGTCTAGATTACTGCAGTAAATAAGGAAAATCTCTGGGCTCCTTTTTATTATATATTATAACTGTAATTTATTTCTGTAAAATATGTTCATTTCAGAGACTAGATGTTGTCTAGACCCATTCACTACAACAGCTTCATTTTGGGATTCAAATTACATGATGCTAAAAATAGCCATCCAATCAAATGCACTCATGAGTGAGAGAAACTGAGTTGGTGATGAGAGAGATGGAGCTGGTCACATCACTTCCGAAACGAAGCTTTATGTCAAATGGGTCCAGTGTATTTAGCCTCATGTAATTGAGATATACCCAGGATAATCGAGGTTTCCACCCTTACCGAAATAGGCTGGAAAATCAGAGTTACATTTTGGCTGGACAATCAAGGATTTTAATATGAAAATTTCAGTCGACTGCCGGATTTGCAAATATTTTCATGTTTTTAATCAAGGTGCTCAAGTGATTTGATGCAGTTCGCGAGTTAAGACACGTTTTATTACAATATAGATCTTGATTATCGATCAGATTGTCTTGACTGGGCCATTTTGTTTGATGCAAATGCAAGTGATATGTGATTTAGAATCTGATTGGTCAATAGGAGGGACATAGAAGGGACAAAACTCATTATAGCCACTGGTGGCGCTATGATCGAGCCTGGAAATTCCAGCCTAGTTCGGCAAGGGTGGAAACTGGACTCTTATAGTCAGTTAACTCCCTTGCCTCAGGAAGATGACACATGTATAGTTGTATTGTTTTTGTTTTTGTTTCCATGTATATGTCACTCTTGATCTAGCAAATTTATTTATTTTACTGTAAAACATTGTATCTAATTACACAGGTTCTGGTAATTTCCACCAATGAGATGATCATGCATTTTGTCTCTGTACAATAAAACCATGTATATTTGTTTGTTTGTTTTGTAGTGCTACCCACAATTGTCATTATTAATATCCATATTAATTATAGTTGCAATATTAACCACCCTTTAAACAGAATGCTGATCTACAATCTCATATCAGTGGTACCTTAATTAATCATACTCCCCAGGAAGCTGAGAACGCAATTGGAATGCACCCTGTTTGGTTTACTAGTACAGCACCAGGGGCATGCACTCAGCAACGTGCCAGATATATTACGGTGGCCTATAAATAATCAAGTCTGTGCCAGACAATCCAGAAATTGATATTTGGGCAATGATACTCAGGGTACAATGTCACACACAATCAACCAAGTCACGAAGTCTGACCTCTGGAGGGGCAGCCGGGTAGCCATAGTGGTTAAAGCGTTCGCTCATCACGCCGAAGACCCGGGTTCAATTCCCGCCATGGGTACAATGTGTGAAGCCCATTTCTGGTGTCTGTGATATTGCTGGAATATTGCTAAAAGCGGCGTAAAACCAAACTCACTCACTCACTGAAGTCCGGATCCATGAAGTGGCCTCTAAAGACAACCATAGATTCCTGGGGAACTATTCTAACCGGGAATGCCCACAGGGACATGTATCTTTAAAAGGTGTGTTATTTTGACTTTCCTTTAAGTCAACGGTGCAGTCGGGTAGCCTAGTGGTTAAAGCATTCACTCGTCACGCCGAAGACTGGGGTTCGATTCCAGACATGGGTACAATGTGTGAAGTCCATTTCTGGTGTCCCCCGCCATGAAATTGCTGGAATATTGCTCACTCACTCACTTTAAGTCAACACTTACACCCAAACTTTCCCCACTTGACGGCTGGAGATATCACAAAATATCAATGTGAATCATCACATAGAGTCATGCTTACCATGTCCTTTTGCAGGCGTTATAACATCTTGATGTTATGTGACTGATGGATAAGATGTTTCATAATGTTGGAATTCCAGAACAGAACTCTGGCCCCTAAACACTTAACCTTTCAATATTCCCAGTGATATATCCCAGTAGATATTTTTTTTTGTTTTACGTCGCACTCCGCAATATTCCAGCTATATGACGGCGGTCTGTAAATAATCGAGTCTGGACCAGACAATCCAGTGATTGATATCATGAGCAACAATCCACCCAATTGGGGTCGATGACATGCTTCAACCAAGTCAGCAAGTCTGACCACCCGATCCCCTTAGTCGCCTCATATGACAAGCGACCGCCTCCGTGGTCTTGTGGTAGAGCGTCCGCCCGGAGAGCGGAAGGTCCAGGGTTCGATCCCGGGCCGCGTCATACAAAAAGACGTTAAAAGATTGTACTTGTTGTTACCCTGTCTGGCGCTCGGCATTAAGGGGCTAAAACAAGGACAGGTCGGCTCGGAGTCAGTATACTGTGTCTGAGTGGGGTATTCATGTTAAACTGCGGCATGGTATCTCAGTGAGCTAGCACTATAAATCGGCATCAGTCCGGACTAGTACAAGCAGCCACACACACACATACACGTGCATGCACGTCGCTATATAAGTGCAATAATCTTGGACGCGACGTTAAACTCAATTTCACCTCACCTCATATGACAAGCAGTAGATGTGTTTGTATTGAGTTGGACGGGCTGCAACCATGCGTGAAAAACACAGTGGTCAAGCCACACATAGATATAAATGCAGCAGGATGTAACCGAATGGCGAGTGATATTCAAAATGGTTAAGCGATTAGTTTTATTAAAAGCAGTAGTCAACACAATGGGAAGTAATTGTATATTTATTCACTGACATCCTCAATAAAGTCAACACAACGGGAAGTAATTGTATATTTATTCACTGACATCCTCAATATACACAATCAGCAGCTAGCCAGCAGGATACAGCTTACAGTAAAAATATCCACTTTGAACTTTATGCATATGAATGTGTAGCTATCAAGGTGGGGCTGTGGAGGTAAATATACGGACTATTTGCACACAACAGAGACTGAGAATTTCCCGGTTCGCCCAGATTATGTTTCTAGGTTTGTCAGCACCATACCCGTGCTCGTGGGTTTCACCGAAGTGGTAAACGTCTGAGACCTGCATCACTTCGGGCTTTCCTCCCACATTAAGCTGACACGCCGTGATATAACTGGAATACTGTTAAAAGCGGCGTTAAACCCAACTCACTCACTCACTCACTCCTATCTGGAATTCCTAGACCAGCTGTAATCAGGGATTTTATTCTTCAGTAATTGGTTTACAGATCCTTAAAAATCAGAAATGAGGGAAAAAATAAGTCCAGATAAAAACGAGCTTATGTTTTAGTTTTCAGGAAGGACAGGGACAGATGACCTCTATATGACCCCTAACTGTAGGTTCACATAATCCTAACAGCTTCCTCCAGATTCACTCCAAACAGTGTGACTCAGTTCCTATGTGGATGCTATACAATCTGTGACATTCCAGTCACATTACATTAAAATGGCAACAGGAAAATGAGAATTTGAAATTTGTTCTTTCTCATCCAAACAACCCTTCATTATTAAACAACTGAACAGTAATTTTAATTTTGTTGTTATTTCCACTACAAACCCAAGATCTTGAGAAAAAGAATCTGTAAACAAATCTGTAAAACCAAAGTCAAAGAGTTCCTTTATTGTGTCTGCAGTTTGCTTCCTGAATCAGTCCACTTTTTGGTATGCATCTTCTGCAAGCACTGTGACCTCCCCATGGTGCAGTGTGATGAACTCCGCCAGATCAAGATTCTTCTGTTTTAGTTCCTCCTTGAGCTTTTCTCGAGGTTCCAAAATTGGCTGAAACATGTGTACAGATAGACTGGAGATGATGGTTTTAACAGCTATTTAAAACACAGTGTAAGCAGCTTACCTCATTGGTGAGGGTGAATGTGCCCCAGTGTATACAGCTTACCTCATTGGTGAGGGTGAATGTGCCCCAGTGCACACAGCTTACCTCATTGGTGAGGGTGAATGTGCCCCAGTGTATACAGCTTACCTCGTTGGTGAGGGTGAATGTGCCCCAGTGTATACAGCTTACCTCATTGGTGAGGGTGATTGTGCCCCAGTGTATACAGCTTACCTCATTAGTGAGGGTGATTGTGCCCCAGTGTATACAGCTTACCTCATTGGTGAGGGTGAATGTGCCCCAGTGTATACAGCTTACCTCATTGGTGAGGGTGAATGTGCCCCAGTGTATACAGCTTATCTTGTTGGTGAGGGTGAATGTTCCCCAGTGTATACAGCTTACCTCATTGGTGAGGGTGAATGTGCCCCAGTGTATACAGCTTACCTCGTTGGTTAGGGTGAATGTGCCCCAGTGTATACAGCTTACCTCATTGGTGAGGGTGATTGTGCCCCAGTGTATACAGCTTACCTCATTAGTGAGGGTGATTGTGCCCCAGTGTATACAGCTTACCTCATTGGTGAGGGTGAATGTGCCCCGGTGTATACAGCTTACCTCATTGGTGAGGGTGAATGTGCCCCAGTGTATACAGCTTATCTTGTTGGTGAGGGTGAATGTTCCCCAGTGTATACAGCTTACCTCATTGGTGAGGGTGAATGTGCCCCAGTGTATACAGCTTACCTCATTGGTGAGGGTGAATGTTCCCCAGTGTACAGCTTACCTCATTGGTGAGGGTGAATGTGCCCCAGTGTATACAGCTTACCTCATTGGTGAGGGTGAATGTGCCCCAGTGTATACAGCTTACCTCATTGGTGAGGGTGAATGTGTCCCAGTGTACACAGCTTACCTCATTGGTGAGGGTGAATGTGCCCCAGTGTATTCCAACAGACATTCTGGACTGGACATCCTCGTGGATTTGAACAGACTCTTTGGGGTTCACATGTTGTGGGTGCATAAACCATCTGTAATCACATCACGATATATGGGAAATCTTCTGGATGAATATCAAGTGAATGGTAATTGTTAAATAGTTCCTATTATAACACTACTTCTTAGGTGTGCTCCATTATATAACTACATCTGGAGAGGACCCAGGCGTAGATCCAGTGTAGAATAGGTCTTCAGCAACCCATGCTTGCTGTAAAAGGCGACTATGCTTGTCGTAAGAGGCATCTAATGGGATCAGGCCATCAGGCTCACTGACTTGGTTGATGGATGTCATCGTATCCCATCTACGTTTATCGATGCACATGAGGTCAATTACTGGATTGCCTGGTCAAGACTCAAGTGCGGCTAAGTGCGGAGTTAAACAACAAACAAACATCTGGAGTGCCCCACTATTGGAAAAAATGAAATGTTAAAAAGTGATAAATCAAAATGTTAAACATGCTTCCACATTGTGATGAAGTCAACACAAACACTTCTCCCCTCTTACCTGGGTTCGTATGCACCGATAGGGATAGCAGCGAGAGAAAACGGTCCATACTTGTGTCCGATCTGTTTAAACACTTCACAGTACCCGGTGTCTCCTCCGAAAAAGAATCGATGCTTTGGACCAATCACAGACCAGCTGCTCCATAGTGTCTGAAACACAAGACGACAGGTGAGAGTTGATCTTAAACTGCACAATACCAGTGCTATCATACTCCGGCTCAGTGATGACAACATGACCAGACTTTTCTGATGTTGTAAAAAACATGCCAATATCTCTGCTCAAAAGATTGATACATGTGCAAAGTTTCAAAATAAAATCTCAAACAGTTTCCGAGGTATGCACTGGAAATGAATGCTACATGTATTTGAGTCAAAGTCTAGCTTGTTGCCAAGGAAACAATATTGTCGCTAACAATATTTTACAGAAATACCAAAACATCAAAGGCACTAGTGTTTAATACCGATGCAAAGTTTCATAATGATTATTTAAGGGTTATAATATCATTCATACTAATCCGACTCGCTAATTGCTTATCTCATTTCATTCCGAAAAGGTAGTTGAAACACCTGTGCTGTGTTCCAAAGAACAAAGAGAACATCTCACCCGAATGCAATCGGCAGGCACACAGTCGCACCAGACATGTGACCAAGCCTGTGTTCTCCTCACTATCTCACTTCCCTTACCTAACGGTAGACTAACATATAGTCTCTGAAATGAACATATCATACAGAAAAAACAGTTGTTCAGTTATCTTAATAAAAATCTAATAAAAAGGGAGCCCAGTGATTCTCTTCATTCCTGATACTGCAGTAATCTAGACTTGCCAAACATTATAGACTTGCATGGGCTGTAGTTGATATAAATGTATCAGGGTCTGTAAGACAGACTAACCTAACGGCTGAAACAAGTATACTAATGAGTATGAGTCAGGATAAGTTTTAATGATATTTTTACCTTAAAAAAATAAATATTTTACCTTATCCTGACTCATACTAATTCCTTGAATCCAACAGTTGGTGGTGGGATCCACCGTATGCGTGATTCAGATCGTGATCTGTTCAATCAACTCTATGGGAACGTCTTCTTCATTCTTGGACATCAATCCGCAGAGGGGCACCATCCCGTACTTGTGAAGGTGGGAGAAAATATTTTCAAAAGATTTCGTGGATTTTGTAAGTGCACATAGAATTTTGTTCCAGATTACTTAGAACGATTCTTGTGTTAAGAAAAATGTCATAATCTTGACGCAATCCTTATCACTCATGTTCCGAATTACGTAGTAAAACAGGAGAGCATCAACTTTAAGTCGGTGGTTATGAATCAGTAACCTGACGTCTAAAAGTCTGCAGGATTTTGGGTGAGTTTCATGATTTTCGTTATCTTCAATTGGGTTCTGTCAATTGTTGAGAACACTAAGGGTCAGAATTGTTGAATCCCTGCAATATCTTCTGTGGCGAGGTCTCGAAGGTAATTGTTGGCAAAGACTATGTACATTTTCCAGAAACATCCTTCCATTATTGTTGGAATGGAACAGTTGCCATTGAGCGTGAAGTGAGAGCTCTGACCTTGTGCAGATTGGAAGCCGAAGGAGCGTCTGGACCAGCATCTCTGTAAGCTTGAAGTATGACTGCTCTCATTCAGAAGGTGATAGTAGTTCTAGAAACTTTGGTTGTAGAGTTTCTAGCTAACGGGATGAAAAGTCATCTAAACTTTTGACGTCTGGAATTCACCCTTCGTAAATACACACATAAGATTGTAACTGGACAGTGATAAATTCTCTGTATCTTTGGAATAGATGATATAGGCGGGATTTGAAACTGTCTGGTTAACCTAGCAGTTCATTCATGGCGATGAAATCCCAACGGAGACCCCGATAGGCTGATGCGTTGTCGACATTGTCGAATCTAGTGCGGCTGAAATCTAAGGCTAGTAAGGCCAGTGTAAATAAAGTTTTCTGCTTCAGATGTATGAATCCTGTTTACTAACGGGGTTCACAAGCACTACAACTTGAGGACTATGTTTAAGTCCCATGCTGGGGCTTTGAATTTCTTCTGTTGATCTTCTAGTCTGTAAGAACAGAGCAGAGTGACCAGGTCAGGAACTTTAGCCAGTTTGATACCGATATACATGGTCAGAACAGAGCTGATGGCTGCTTGATATGTGCCCAACATTGCACATCTGCAACTTAAGGTGAAGTGGCTTTATCTAGTGAGAATCCTCTACTTATTGCAAATTAGTCGAAGCTCTTCCATCTACGAAGATCAACAGAAGAAATTGTTGTTGAGAACGGAGCAGAGCAACCAGGTCAGGAACTTTAGCCAGTTTGATACCGATATACATGGTCAGAACGGAGCTGATGGCTGCTTGATATGTGCCCAGCATTGCACATCTGCAACTTGAGGTGAAGTGGCTTTATCTAGTGAGAATCCTCTACTTATTGCAAATTAGTCGAAGCTCTTCCATCTATGAAGATCAACAGAAGAAATTGTTGTTGAGAACGGAGCAGAGCAACCAGGTCAGGAACTTTAGCCAGTTTGATACCGATATACATGGTCAGAACGGAGCTGATGGCTGCTTGATATGTGCCAAGCATTGCACCTCTGCAACTTGAGGTGAAGTGGCTATATCTACTGAGAATCCTCTACTTATTGCAAATTGGTCGAAGCTCTTCCATTTACAAAGCTCTTCCATCTATGAAGAGCTAGGGAGACAGTTGTAGCAGCTCTGGCTGAGTAGCCTCTTCTGGTAAGGTTGTTTGTGATGTGCTCAATATGTGAAGCTCAAAGATGTTTGGGTTTTGATAAAGTTGTCTTGTGTGAGTATGAAGAAGTATGTTTGACCAATTTGGAAGTCTTAGTACCAGATTCTCTGCTAGGGCGATGAGGTCTGGAAAGCAAGTTATCGACAGTCAGTAAGGGGCTACCAAAAGCTGTAGAAGGCACTTTGCGTTTCTGACCTTCTGTAGGACTGACGGTGACAGTGCTGGGGCGGGGAACGCATGATCATGAAGTGCTTTTCACTATAATGCCAGTGCGTCATTGGCCCAAGCTAGAGGGTCTTGAACTGGCAAGACGAAAGTCCTTATTAGATTGTTGACGATAGCAGGGGAATCCCATGTTTGGAGTAAGAGAGGCTTCGTATAGAGGTCAACCAGGTAGAGTTAGAGACCAACTCTTGACTATGTAACAGCATAAGTCTGGAGGAAGTGGAACTGATTTGGTCGGAAATGAATTCCTGAAACTTCTGTTGGTTGATTTAATTCAACCCATTGGTCCTTCGTGTTGAAGTCATACCTTTCGTCCATGAGGACATCACCCTCTGACTGTCCATTCTCGAATGGTTGAGGTATACATGTCAGTAGCATACGCTCGCATTGAGGGTTCTTGAGGGGAGAGAGCAATGCTTCATTAATAGAACACAACATCGTCAATTCAAGGAAAGCTCGTCTCATTGTTGTGTCCTGTTGTGCCAAAATTCTTGTCCTCAACTCTGTTGGTTTTACTCTTCAAGTCCAATAGTAAATTGCAACTCTGGAGCCCATAAGAATGGTGTCATGCCGTGTAAGGGGAAAGTTTAGGGTTGATATGCGGGGTTGGTAAACCCTGAGTCCTAGGAGTCTTGGTGAAGGATGTGTTAATATTCTTTATGACTTGTATGGTAGATTTAGTTGGCAGTAGAGTCAGAGACACAAGGTCGTTGCCGGAGATGCCGTAAGTATCAGCAGAAGGTAGATCCTTGGAGGGAGAGGAGATTGGATGACCATCAACAATCCATGTCAGCACCTCCTGGTCGTTGTAGATAGAAGGTATATCCTCATGACGTGAGGGCATATCAGCAAAGGAATGCTTAAACACATCCTCTTCCTGTAAAAGGAAGGAGGTGTTAGGGTTTGGAACCGTAGCAGAACAGTGAGAAATGAGAGACATGTCATCAGAGACGGGAGTAAATGCAGTACCAGTATCTACAAAGTCTGTAGATGTAGGAGGCATGGTATCTTGTTGATAAAAGGCAGGTTGCATGAATGTAGGAAGCTGCTCGAACGACTGCACCTGTGTAAACGCTCCGGCTGAGGCACTGAGGCTGCGCGAAGGAGCATCTGAGTGAACGTCTGAGGCTGCGTGAAGTGCTGGTCCTGCATCCAGGACCCACTTGCACAAAACGATCTTAGCGCTAAGACTATTGTTAGCCTATGTTAAAGCATGGGAGTTACGATCATCTTAGCGCTAAGATCGCTTTGTGCAAGTGGGTCCTGGTCAGTATGCTTTTGCGACTTAGAAGTTGACTTCTGGCTGCCTTCGTGGACGTCTTTGTAGAACCCACTAGAAGTGATGTTGTGGGCTTTGTAAAGGTGGGGACCCTCGCGCAGGCATCCTTCAATGTTGAAGTCGACTTTGAAGATGAGGAGGAGGAGCTGCTCATCATACTTAAAAAAGGAAAGTTTTAAACCAAAATGAGTAAAAAAAGCATAAGCCAAAGTAGAAAAATATAGTTATAGTATGATGAAGAAAGGTTTGAAGAAGGTAATCCAAACAAAATATTTCAATAAATACAATTTATTACAGGATGACTTGCATTATGAGAGCACAGAAATTTATCCCAACTACCCAGTTTGATGCGAAAACGAGAATATCATTTTGGTCACATGTTTCAGGTGCAGCTGCATGACTGAGGGGTGTGTTTGGGTGAGATGTTTTTCTCTGTTCTTGGGAACAAAGCACAGGAGTTTCCACTACCTCTTCAGAATGAGATGAGATAAGCAGTTAGTATGAGTTAGGATAAGGTAAAACATAAAATATTGAACGGTTTTAGATTTATGCTCTGGAAACGAAACATGACAGACAGGTGCAAGAACTGCACCCAATTCAGTCTGAAGTATATAATAAAGGAAATATAGTCCTACCCTGAAGTCATCAGTTGGTGTCCGTTTGCTCCAGTGTTGACAAGGGGTACAGACAAACTTGACAGAAGTTCCGTCTGCTGTTGCGTGCTCAGCTTCCTGCCACCAGTCCAGCTCCTGCACGTTCTGACACCCCGTCGACACCATCCACTCTTTCAACCCCATCGGGACGTACCAGCGTAGCGACGCTCCAAACTTCTTGTTCAAGGCAACAACTGAGTAGTAGTCTAGGTGATCATAATGATTGTGGCTTATAACCACAGCATCAACCTTTGGTAGATCTTCTACCTTGCATGGCGGCTTACGATACCGCTTGGGTCCGAACCACTGACTTGGGGAGCATCTGTTGCTGAAGACGGGGTCTGTGAGGATTGTGACATTATCGAACTGCACCAGTACCGTGGCATGGCCAACCCACATCGTACGCACTCCAGTCAGAGGGGATTTCTCATATCCACCAAAGTCTGGTGTACAGATTGGTAGTTCTTCATTGAGGACCTACACAACAAAACATATGTTAAGAATACTCCACCAACTCTACACGCAGATATTTATTCAACATTGTTCAACTATTTTGTTAAATTTTACGGATTAGATTTTTGGCGTACTAAGCTTCAGAAGGTCAAAATAAAACAAATATTGATTTTGTTACACAATTTTGTTTTCATTTATTTGGAATATGGATTTTTTACAATAAATTGTATATTTAAATACTTATCCTATTTCACACTATACATTTCTACCTTCATCTTTGATCCTGGTGTGGAAACGATCCTAAAACAAATTTTCAGCTTCAAAAAACATATCACCCAAACACATCCCAGTCGTCACCATGGTCACCACCATAAGCCATGGGTCGGACCACCACCAACAATTCGTGGAACGCATGCATCGTGTGTGTCCTGATCACATGACATCCCCAGCATTCTCATTCTGTTCCTTGAGCATACAGGCTGGTGTAACTGTGATGCAGGGATGGTTGGGTGGGTTTTTAACGTGTGAGATAGTATAAGTATATAAATAAACAATTTATTGTAAAATTATCCTATCTCACACTATGCATTCATCCCACGGTTGGACGGTAGGGCGCTGTTATCCAAGCCTGTAAACAGACCACAACCTCGAGACGTTACATGAGGAAGCAGGTCCTAAGCCATGATCCAATCCAGTGATTGTCACAATACTCAGTGTTATAAGAGACTCGTGTATGGGTTTCTTCATATAACCCCTATAACTCAAGACAGATACAACATGAGAGCAGGTAACTCATGTTCTGTGGTTTCACACAGGTTGTCAATCTGCATTGGGAACCCAATTCAACTACGACTTTAACCTACCCTGTTTACAAGAGGGAGTAGATCACCCCTTCTCCAGCTAGTATGTTCTACAAGACAGGCCACACACATTACGATCCAGTGGATGTAATGTGGGTCAGATTGGCATCTCTTTTGACGCTTTATCAACGCTATCAATCACAACCGCAGCTATTGAGAACACTTGTTTCTTTGTTTGTTGTTTAACGCCGCACTCAGTAACATTCCAGTTATATGACGGCGGTCTGTAAATAATCGAGTCTGGATCAGACAATCCAGTGATTGACATCATGAGCATTGATACAACCAAGTCAACGAGCCTGACCACCCGATCCAATAAGTTACCTCTTACGACAAGCATAGTCACCTTTTATTGCAAGCATGGGTTGCTGAAGACCTATTCTATCCCAAATCTTCACGAGTCGGTTAGCAGGTAGACACCATTTATGCAAATGGCCGCCCATAATAGTGACTTCCATGATGTAGACATAACACCCCTACAGATGAGTATGTAGATCCTCCATGTGGAACACAAGTCTGAGAACCTGATATTACAAGATACGACATTCTGGAACAGGTATCTGCATCTGGGCTGCTGTCAGTTGCTGGGCCAACACAGTCAAAACCAAAATCGGTTGAAGGTGTTTTGTGTCAACTGCCTTCTGCAGAACCCAAGACAGAAGACCCGTTGGAGCGTTGAGACCCTCCCACAATCGTGATCACAGGCCTGTGAGTCAGGTGTGCAGGTATGAACTTCGGCAACTGTGTGTTGAAGGGGCTTGCGAAGAGCTCGAGGTTTGGGCTTCGATAAAGTCCATTTATAAACCTCCGGATGTAGTTGCATACATGGACGGTTGATCTGGGCAGGATAAGACATCCGCTTTCCTATCCCGAATCCCTAGAATGTGACTGGCCCGAAACTGCATGTGAAGCGAGTTGATTAGTTCGAAGAATGGAGTCAGTGTTCATGGAAGTGATACTGACTTGGTCGACCCCGTCTTTTTGATGTGCCACGCAACTGATGTGTTGTCTGATTGAACCATAAGGCGGGATGCTCATATAAACTTCACCCAATGTGTTATCGCCAACACCACCGCTTTAAATTCCAAGATGTTTAACCGAAATGTGGAGATTTTGTTTGTCTGCTCTGCTCTGTCACACTCAGGTCTTATAACATTTTCCCGAGGCAAGAGAGTTAACTGTCCAGTTTCCACCCTTGCTGAACTAGGCTGGTATTATGGAGTTATATTTTGGCTGGACTAACGAGTCTAAGCATAGTCCAATCAAAATAGTACATACACTGTCGTGCAGATTACGGTCGATTGCAGGATGGCAAAGCATGTGCACCGCCAACTCGTTGTCAGCAGATATTTTCCAAATCTTTTCATGTTTTTAATCAAGGTGCTCACCTGATTTGATGTATTTCGCAATGTAAGACCCGTTTTATCACAATATAGATCTTGATTATCGATTAGATCGTCCTGACTGGGCGCCACCAGTTTGTGTGAAGCAAACGCAAGTGATACGAGAGGTGGAATCTGATTGGTCCATAGGGGAGGCTTAGAAGGGACATAACTGGTAATAGCCACTGGTGGCGCTACGATTGAGCCCAGTAATTCCAGCCTAGTTCGGCAAGGGTGGAAACTGGACTTTTAAAGTCAGTTAACTCACTTGCCTCGGGAAGATGGTTTTATAAGTGCGCTCCCCAACCAATCGTCAGCGAACATGTAATGCATGGTAGGAACCATGTCTTGTCTTGATCTCATAGAAGTCTTTCTGCAGGAACGGTCATAGCAAGGACTATAAAAGTCAAAGCTGCATCTTGTAGATCGAGGCTGATGATATAATTCCCCGGTTTAATGATAATACGAAGCAGGGTGATCAAGACCAAGCGGAAGTGTGGCGGTGTTACTAGAAAACTGTGCATTGAAGGAACGTAGAGATCACTGGGAGAGTATGCTGAATCGATGTGTCTAGATTCATCAACTCGTGCAGATTGATGCTTATGATGACAACCGCTGGATTGTCTGGTCCAGACTTGAATGTTTACAGACTGCCATCATATAGTTGGAATATTGTTGAGTGCAGTATTAACAACAAACAAGCAAACTTCCTGTTTGATCGGTGTAATTTCAACATCCAGGATGTGTTTGGGTGAGATGTTTTTTGAAGCTGGAAACTTGTTTTAGGATCTTTTTACACCAGGATCGAAGATGAAGGAAGAAATGCATAGTGTGACATAAAATAAGTTTAAAAATTAGTGGTTTGGTCCATTGATTAACTCAAAAAAGAGAAATTTGGGTACCGCAAACTTACGCAAAAAGATGCAAACCTACACAATCACCACACAAAAACGTGGCCCTTCACTAATTTAGGCCTAAGGCAAACACAACCAGCTTTGTAATCATTGCACATGTGGCAATGTTTTTAGGTAACTCTTGATAAATATATAAGAAATTTGAAGTATCTTCTTGTTCGACCAACCCACGACAATAGTTCACACACAAATGTGTTAACCAAGAATTAACGTAACACACACAAACCTCTTTCTTGGGTACATCGCTGTTATTTTTTTCCCAAAAAAAGAATTTTAAGACATTAGCCCAGTTTATCCTTTTCCAAGTTGGCCATGGGTTTTCATAGTAACCATTCTTGAAGACTGATCTTGTGAGGCCATCTTCAGGTATGGCTCCTGTTGCCATGGTTCCCTCAGATGGGGGTGTGTCCATTCTCTCACTGCTTGAGTTATCAGCTGATGCCATTTTGGTCGAGATTTTCAGAAATCTGTAGGGAATTAAATTAATTTGATTCATAAGAATGTAAACATTTTTTAAACTGTAAACCTGACAGAAAATGATGAGTTAATGTATCTTTTGCTGTCTAAGCATTAGTTAAGCTTTTGCTGACAAGCGGAAGGGTTGTGAATACGTGATCTGAATTCATACATGTTTCTTGGAACAACTGACATCGTCACTTCAGCTGCAGTCTAAGGACATGCTGAGGCAGCTAATTATTTTTCATATAAATAAACGTACAACTTTAGGATAACAACATTTGTTTTGCTGCACATAGAGACTTTTCGATATAAATTCTTCCATCGTTATCAAGCTGGAGTGGCCACAACCAAGTGATGAGAGGTATATATACATGATATGTTGTGATAAGCAGCAGATTAACATTATACACAACAGGTAATAGATAACAAGAAGCACATATATAATTGAATGAAGCCAGATATACAGTAAGGATAACAAATACCACACAGGTAATGAAGCGAGATTTACAGTAAGGATAAGTATTAAAAGAATTACATAAAGCTGTGACAAGCCAATTGGATACTAATTAAATATATCTATTGCTTGATTAGACCTTCAAAGGCAAATAAGATGGAGTACCCTTGATGTCTGTTGAGACAGTGGATTTTTATATGCTATTCTGTTCGAAATTGATACACATACAATGTACCAACAAAACAATTTCAATTTCTATTCATGGATTAAACAGATGAGTAAAAATTAGGCCAGACTTGTTTCTTTATGGTTCACAGATTTTTGGCCCCAAATTCAGGTCAGTAGGTCGAAAAAAATTAAAAATTAAAGAGTCAAATGACTTTCCTCAAAATGTTAAGAAGTTTTATGATAATTTCTTTAACAGCATTCAATTATAGTATTTTAAATAACTTAATTAATATTGATAAAGAAAGTAACTGAGTTTTTTTAAACATTTAATTTATTTCTGGTTGGCAGAAAAACAACACTGCTTTTCATTTATTTTTTTCACATTTCAATTTTTGGGAAGTTTGGGGATTGATTTGTCAACCAAGTTTTTAAAAAGTCTGGTCTAAGAGAAGGAGAAGATAGATGTTAGGCAACAAACACACAACTAGGTCAGACCAATCTTTATCTTGTAAGGATGAGCCAGTCAAAAAGAAAAGAACAAAATAACATGATTGAAAGTATGCTTGTTTCAAACCCTACATCCCAGTAGGGCTGTATAACTGACAGCCGTCATATAACTGGAATATTGCTGAGGGCAGCTTTAAACAACAAACAAACCATTCAAAGAGAATGAATCATAAATAAACAAATATTCAGTGTATCATTGCACCGCTACCTGTCAATAAACTGTAAGTTTGTACTTTCAATTTAAGACTGATTGAGCACACGTTGAGGACAAGATGGTTGTAATTCCTACACTTTAATGTAGACTTACAGGAGTTATAGCGCTAAGATCGTCCTAATGCCTACACTTTAACGTAGACTTACGGGAGTCATAGCGCTAAGATGGTCGTAATTCCTACACTTTAACGTAGAAATATGGGAGTTATAGCGCTAAGATGGTTATAATTCCTACACTTTAACATAGACTTACAGGAGTTATAGCGCTAAGATGGTTGTAATTCCTACACTTTAATGTAGACTTACAGGAGTTATAGCGCTTAGATGGTTGTAATTCCTACACTTTAACATAGACTTACAGGAGTTATAGCGCTTAGATGGTCGTAATTCCTACACTTTAACGTAGACTTACGGGAGTTATAGCGCTAAGATGGTCGTAATTCCTACACTTTAACGTAGACTTACGGGAGTTATAGCGCTAAGATGGTCGTAATTCCTACACTTTAACGTAGACTTACGGGAGTTATAGCGCTAAGATGGTTGTAATTCCTACACTTTAACATAGACTTACTGGAGTTATAGCGCTAAGATGGTCGTAATTCCTACACTTTAACGTAGACTTACGGGAGTTATAGCAGTAAGATCGTTGTAATTCCTACACTTTAACGTAGACTTACAGGAGTTATAGCGCTTAGATGGTTGTAATTCCTACACTTTAACATAGACTTACGGGAGTCATAGCACTAAGATGGTTGTAATTCCTACACTTTAACGTAGAAATATGGGAGTTATAGCGCTAAGATGGTTGTAATTCCTACACTTTAACATAGACTTACAGGAGTTATAGTGCTAAGATGGTTGTAATTCCTACACTTTAATGTAGACTTACAGGAGTTATAGCGCTTAGATGGTCGTAATTCCTACACTTTAACGTAGACTTACGGGAGTTATAGCGCTAAGATGGTCGTAATTCCTACACTTTAACGTAGACTTACGGGAGTTATAGCGCTAAGATGGTCGTAATTCCTACACTTTAACGTAGACTTACGGGAGTTATAGCGCTAAGATGGTTGTAATTTCTACACTTTAACATAGACTTACTGGAGTTATAGCGCTAAGATGGTCGTAATTCCTACACTTTAACGTAGACTTACGGGAGTTATAGCAGTAAGATCGTTGTAATTCCTACACTTTAACGTAGGCTTACAGGAGTTATAGCACTTAGATGGTTGTAATTCCTACACTTTAACGTAGAAATATGGGAGTTATAGCGCTAAGATGGTTGTTATTCCTACACTTTAGTGTAGACTTACAGGATTCAAAGCGCTAAGATGGTTGTAATTCCTACACTTTAACATAGACTTACAGGAGTCCTAGCGTTAAGATGGTTGTAATTCCCACACTTTAACGTAGACTTACAGGAGTCATAGCGCCAAGATGGTTGTAATTCCTACACTTCAACGTAGACTTACAGGAGTCATAGCGCTAAGACGGTCGTAATTCCTACACATTAACGTAGACTTACGAGAATCATAGCACGACAATCGTCTTGTGGAACAGGGCCCAGGCTCTTAATGAAATACAGATATTCTAACTCATTGTGGCCTGACAATTTGGTCAAGAAATTCATTTAACAAGACATAAAATTAGTCTGTCCTAAATCTACACAGATGGACATGGAGATACATGGAACCGGTGTGGAACAGGGGCAACTCACAGGTAGGATCCAGCTACTGCTGCCGATATTCTAACAATGTTCATGACACTGATTCACACTCATCCAGCAGACTCAAGCATAAACAGTGCATCAGCCACACCGATAATATACAGCGTCACAAAAAAACTGCCAACATAAATCCCTGTAATAAACAAAAAGAAATCAAAACAATACAAACATGCAACAGTCAACAATAGATACAATAAACGTCAACAACAATAATTTGACCCTAAAACAATGTCCTAAATAACTGCCTGTCTGGCTGCCCGTGACTTGTAACTTTTCTGTCGGGCTGCATGAAATTTTCTTCGACCTGCCCGACTGTCTGGCAGATAAATTTAAGACTACTTATGTATTCAGTTTTATTATAACTCCTTGTAGATTCTCAATTAATTGTTTGCATTATTTCAAATGAATCAAGACTAGATTCGTTTCTTATTGCAATTTTTCAATATTTATAATGTCTGAATGCAGGCCTGTAACTTTGAAGATGTGCAGGCAACACTTATGGGTCACCTGCCCAACTGTATAGTTAAGTTTTTAAATTATTTCAAACACTGCCTGAAAATCTTATGAGTATGGTCGGTCTAAAGAAAAAAAATGAAATAACTTCAGTACTTATTTAAAGTTCAAATGACACCATTGCTGGGATCAGCCTTGACATAAGCAAACATAAGCCTATATTTTCAGGTGAATTCAGCTGATTGAATTACATCTTTGTCAGCAGATGATGGGCTTAGCGGTGATCATCTACACATGATCTGAGGCTGATATTCGGACCCAAGTCTGCAGCAAATGTCAGTAAAATAATCAAATTAAGAATTAAGTTCCTATTTTATGAAATCCCTTCACTTGACAGCTACTTGTATAACTAATGTGATTACTTTGTAGAGGTGACTTGTGTTTCTCTGATAACAGGACCAATGAAGAAAAAAGATGCTAAATGGTTGGGTTTACGTTATTGCATCAAATGTAGTCTTAATATACAATGTTAAAAGACCTCTGAATTTAAGTAAATACAAACTCATAAACTTTCAGCTTGTGAACAAAATAACTATCTATTATTATTTGCTTGGCAAGGGCGCTTATGGTATTCGACATAAGCGCCCTGCCCTAATAAGCGCCCACTGCGATATTTGCTAATATATTGGCTAGTGAACAATCCCAATTAGCACCCCTTCCAATTGATCAATGTACACTTATTTATTCATGTATAATATCCACTCATGTGATATATTCACCCTAAATTATGGGAAACTAAGTTCTGGAAAATATATCTGTCGTGTATAATACGCACAGACCACAAACAAGGAAATAAGTTTCTTTTGTATCATTTCAGGCTGTCAAGCATAAACAATGAAATTTACAATCTTTCAACTCTGTTTTTTTCTCTCACCAAAATTATATTCTAAAAAGAATTTTGAGAGCACCCTGGGCGCTTATTACGTCGAATATGGTAATCTTTGTTTTATCCCCTTAATGCTGAGTGCCAGGGGTATAAATGTGAGACCATTGCACGTTACTACCTGGTGGGCCTACTTGCTGACAGTGCCATATGTTGTCACAGAACAGATTCCCTCACAACCTTACCCTAACAAGATATAAACATAGGTGGCTCCAACCTGCCACCAGTGTATCAAAGTGTGAGTAAGTGAGTTGGGTTTAACGCCGCTTTCAACAGTATTCCAGTAATATCACGGCGTGTCATCGTAATGTGGGAGGAAAGTCCAAAGTGATGCAGGTCTCAAATGTTTACCACTTCGGTGAAACGGTGCTGACAAACCTAGAAACATAATTGGGGCGAACCGGGATTCGAACCAACAATCATAGGTTTCTGGCGTGCCCAAGGGATGCAACTCTGAATTGCGGTGCCTTAAGACAACTGGGACACCCGTGCCCCCCAATGTATCAAAGGGTGCCATCACACAGTAAAGTAGGGCATAACATACTTTACTGTGTGGATGTTGGCTATTATTAGTAGTAGTGGTGTGACCGAAAGAGGGCAAAAGAAATCATACTATAGTCAAGAAAATGAGCAAAGCAAGTAAAGAAAGTCCACATAACATAAGTTTATGGTTATTTTCACCACATTGGTTTATTTGATGTGGCAAATGTGACAAGACTGACACTTGCATTTCAAACAAGGAAATAAGTTGCTGATCACGAAATAGGTCATACATTAAATTATACACTTACATTGTGCGCACATTTTGCAGAAAAAGTAAGATAGACCTTCGGAACAGGTTGTGGGATATTTTCAACTTTCACTTTCACTTATGAATGATTAATTTTCAATTACATAAAACCGCAACAGGTTCTTTTCATAACACACCCTGTGACCTATACCCTTATGAAAGTGACCTTTCACTGGCTGGCAACATTGTAGACTTACATTTAGTCTCTGAAATCTTATATTACACAATATCCTTCTTGACTCTAAAAATAAAAAAAATTCCCTATGCTGATTTCTATGCTGTGGAATAGAGCTGGCTAGACTTGCTTTTGTATGCATTTCTAGATTATTACTTTTTCATAAAATAAATATATTCCACGGTCATGGTGCAGGACTAGCACCATTGGGGCTATCAACGATACCGGTGTCGGATATTTTGGCTATTGTGATTTGAAGGCACTTCTTACAATATGTGTCCGAAACAAGCGGCTGATTCACTGGATTCTAAACATGTAAACTGCAAAGGTCGTGCCTTGTAAATTTTTGTCACATATTTGCCCGTTAACACAGATACTTTAACACCCTACAAAGCCACTGACAGTGATCTTAAATTGACCTTACCCTCGTAGTGACCACCAAACACTTAACAGATAACCCACATTCACGAATCAGTCTGCTCGGATTATGTAAATATTACTTCCTTGTGTCGAAAAGTTGGATTTGGAAAATATCAACCGGAAAAAGATTTCCAACTTGTTTTTAATCTAGTATTTATTTTTTTAAATAGCGACCAAATACAGAATGTGGTCTCTGGCTTCAAAATGGATTGTGAAAATAATAATGTAATACAAAATAATAATGTGATGCCCACCTGTACATATAGCGACACACCAGCATAAAATGTCAGCAAAAACAGTGATGGTATTAAAGCTGTCAGCATAATATATTTATAATCATTGTGACAATTTAAATCGGATGTAAGTTCAAACAATCAAACACTGTCAAATTTTAATAATTATTATGAAAAATTACAATTCTGGCAGGCACATATGAGTTGAAGATGTGCAAAGATTGCATTTGTGAAATGTGAGTGACATATGCGAGTGGCTAGGGATGATCTGTAACATGTAGATTGTCTGAGCATGCAGGGAATAGAGTGAGTGATTGAGTGAGTGATTGAGTGAGTGATTGAGTGAGTGATTGAGTGAGTGAGTGAGTGAGTGAGTGAGTGAGTGAGTGAGTGAGTGAGTGAGTGAGTGAGTGAGTTTGGTTTAATGCCACTTTGAGCAGTATTTCATTTATATCACAGCTTGTCAGCTTGATTAGGTAGGGAGAAAGTCATACGTGATCTACATATGTTTGTGCCTAGACCATACACAGATATATGGTCTCTGGTTTGTGCCATGCCTTCGGTTGTCCGTATATTTGTCCGAGTTTCCCGTCTCCCGCCCGCCCTGAATTTTCATTCTGACCAGAGACCATAAAACAAATATATTTTATGGTCTCTGTTCTGACGTGAAATAATAAAAAGTTGTCGTACCACTATTTTGCTCCGCCGCTGTGGAAATCGTGTTCCGATGTGATACACAAAATAATACCACCGTTACACGCTCATAATAAAAAACAACAGGTCAGCTATATCTTTCTTCAGCAATGCTTATTAAACATTCGATCTACTTCATAAATTTATACCCGCCGTGATATTGCTGGAATATTGCTAACAGCGGCGTAAAACCAAACTCACTCACTCATAAATTTATTTAAAGAGTGGTACCAAGTGTTTTAAACTTTAAAATGTCCTAAATGTGTTACACATTTAGTGGAACATACTTATTTTATATATTTTATTTCGACTGCCAACTCTCTTGCCGTAAAAGGCGACTATGCTTGTCGTAAAAGGCGACTACCGGGATCGGGTAGTCAGGCTGTCTGACTTGGTTGATGCATGTCATCGATCCCAATTGCGTGGATCGATGTTCATGATATTAATCACTGGATTGTCTGGTCCAGACTCTATTATTTACAGACCGCCGTCATATAGCTGGAATACTGCTGAGTGTGGCGTTAAACAACCAACCAACCAACCAACCAACTTGAGGTTGGAGTTGAGAAACACGTGAAAAATATGGATGGCCTAACAGAAGCAACTCTGCACAGTGAACAGCGGCACCATAAGCGAATGACACCCCACCTACTGTCACTACATATATATGCAGTACACAGCTAGCTGTACATGTACTGATTCTGTAAGTTACCTGGAAGGTGTAATCAGGGTTATCGACATAAATATTTACTTTGTATGAAATACGATACTCAACTGAAAACATGAATCAATATTTCACTCGAGTGAAATAATACTTTTGGCCGGAACTACTTACTGTTAGCCACTATGATTTTCAGACTGATACTTGTAAAATTTGTGAGAAAATACATATTTAATAAAACATCTGGCTTTTCTTGTCTTTATCTCATCTGGTAAACCTGAAAAGGTTGACATTTCACTTGAGACTGTGCCCCTCATGAAAATATAAACTCTGCCAACACCCGATGTTGGTCATCGCTGAAACCGAAGGAATCCAAAATTCGGCATTAAATCAGTATTGTATTTTTTCTTAATAGTATTTCTTTAGTAAAAAAACCCTTAAAACTTCATGATTGAAATCGGAACTTTGTATTCCTGTGTTCCAACAACCTGTAAACTGCTGTTTCTCTTTTTCTGCATTAAATAAACAGTTCAATTTTGGAATTAACTCGTAATAGTTGGAACCTTTTGAATAGCCTTGGTGGGAGCATGCATGCAAACTTCTTCGTTGGTCAAGGAGATGTATAGAAATAACAATGACGATGGTCTAAAATGACAGACAAACAGTGCGCCGTTTGGACGGGGCGACACATGCAGAACGTGAGTTTGCCATATATTCATTTATGATTATCGTGATATGTTAAGCCATGAATTTTATGGCATGCTACCATTTAGTATTGACAATTCGATTCAGATATTAAACAAATTCATGTTGAAAATGGTTTGAATGACCAGCCACGTCGCTCCCGAGTTCGTCGCCACAAAAACACCAACAATCAGCAACAGCCTAAGTTGGTTTGTTTGCTGGTTAACCCTGCACTCAGCAATATTCCAGCTATATGACGGCGGTCTGTAAATAATCGAGTCTGGACCAGACAATCCGGTGATTGACATAATGAGCATCGATCAACGCAATTGGGATCGATGTCATGCTTCCACCAAGTCAGCGAGCCTGACCACCCGATCCTGTTAGTCGCCTCTTACGACATAGTCTACTTACAGACTATAAGTGGTTTGATGTATAATGTGAGCAAGCAAACTCATATAAGTATATCATTTACTGAACAAATTCAGGAAAACAAATAACAGCATACGTTGTTCTAAATATGTACAGGCAAAGAAGGACTTCAACAATTTATGTAGAGCACAAAAACAAGTATACGAAGAAAAAAGTAATTAATGAAATCGTTGAAGCAGATGAAAATAACGATTGTAGGTATTTTTGGAAATCTGCAAAAAACATCTTAGTATAGTAAATGTGTCGCAAAATATTTCTGTTGATGACTGGTACAAGTATTATAAAACATTGTTACACTCTGGTGTCGACAATAATAATATATATTCTAGTTATTTTACTGTTTTTGACAACGGGTTTTATAATCAAATTGAATGTATTATTACTGTCTAACTTGATTTAGTAACGATATGGCTGAAATATTGCCGATGTGACTATAAATATTCACTCACTCACTCACTCAATAATAATGCCTTCGGAGAACAAGTTAAGTCATGAACCTGAGCACAGTGACGACTTTAGTAGTGCAGATGAATTTCTTGGTAGCAGCATCACCAACGAAGAAATTGTTTGCGCAATAAATAATTTGAAAAGAAGGTATTTAAAGAAACGTGTACATCATTACTATCCTCCATTAATAGTTTGTTTAATCGCATTCTAGACAGTGGCAATTTTCCAGATTCATGGAACCATGGGTTGACTGTACCCCCACCAAAACAGGTGATAAAGACGACTCGTATAACTATAGAGGGATAGGTTTTTAAATACACTTTACTACACTTAAATTATTTACTATAATCCCTGACAATCGTAGAAAGTCCTGGATATCGACCAAACAATTGTTAAATGCCAAGCGGGTTTTAGAGAGAGTTGCTCTACCACCGACCATGCATTTATCCTTCACAACCTTGTACATAAGTATTTACGTAAGCAAGGTGGAAAGTTATATTGATTGTTTGTTGATTTAAAAAAAGCCTTTGATTCTGTAGATAGATTCAAATCACTATACGTTTAATTACAATCTGGCATACATGGGAAATTACAACGCCTTTTAAAAAACATGTACTCCAGTGTAAAAGCATCTGTAAAAGTCAATAAACATGATATGACCGATATATTTAAGACATATGCTGGTGTTAGACAGGGCTGCATTTTCTCTCCCATCTTACTATTTGCAGATGATGAAGCCATTTTTGCGAAAACACGGTAATTCTTCTCCAGCGCAAAATTGATATTCTCAATGAGTATTGTCTAAAAGGGTTATCAAAAATTAATCCGGGTAAGACCAAAATAATAGTCTTTAAAAATGGAAGTAGGATATAAAGATGTGAGAAATGGTTTCTCAGTGGAAAGAATGTAGAGGTTGTATGTATAACAAATACTTAGGTAATATATTTTCGTGTAGAAATATATTCACTTGTCATGCAAGGTGAATGAGCTTTACATGTCATTACAAAGTTTATTTTGAGATATAAAAAGATGCCAATTGCACTTTCATTCAGACTGTTTGAAGGGATAAAACAACCGATTATCACATAATTGTATGACAAATCGTGTTAATTTGCAAAAGGTTACGATAACAGTAAGTGAAATATCAAAATACTGAAAAACAGACTCCATGTCCCTTATGGGCCACGGTAATAAAATGATTTACAAATGTAAACCTATTATGAAATTCATGTTTCTAAACCAGTTCTACATTTTCTGAAACTACAATGTCAAGGTTTGCTGTAACTTGTACAATGAAATTGTGTACATGATGTACTATTGGCCTCTTGGCCTTATATACAAATAAACTGTCAGCAGTTCTTGACATAAACTCACTTGAAAGTTTGTCGGGTAGGACACTGCTAGTGGTCCATCTGTGAGTGAAACTCCCCAGATCTAGTTATGTTACATAAGCACTAGTCCAGCTCACATCCAGGATCCAGTTGTGGTGTGTGATAAATCTAAGATGCTCTTCAAAACCAACTCACTCAATCACAATCAACTTGCTCTCATTTCACCATCTGCAAGGTCTGAGACTGAATAGTGTCAGTCTGCTTACTCAGCAGTCATGATTGACAGTCTGCAGTGGGTGAATACTCTGGAGTAGACAAACCAGTGTTTGGAAACTTGATGATCAAAATCTGCCTAAGCTAGACTTGACTAAGTAGACACAAATGATGGATAACAACTTCTTTCTTGTTATCTGTCACATCCTAAGTAACACCTATCAAACAATTCTAGACTTGACTATTTACAGGCCACCATGATATAGTTTCAAGATTGCTAACTGCAGCATAAAACAAAAGTAATTCACTCACTCACTCACTCACTCACTCACTCACTGAGCTCTAATTACTAAATACCAATAAAACATGACATACTCAAGACTGTCCTTGTAACATAATTTTATTGAACACATTTTTAAATATGAATAAAAGGAAATAAATAGATATGAATGTAATATGAATAAATACTTTCAAAATATAGAAATATCAAGGAATGTAAACATAAGATCTGAAGTCTCAAACTGCAGCTGTGACCAACAGGTGAAAATAAGAAGACATGTCTTCAGCAACTACACTGAATATCAGTTGGATTAAGATAATAGGATCTGAAAAAGTCAGAGATCCCCTGTTTTATGGTTTCTTGAAAAATTCCTAACACCTAAATTCAATCCCACAGTGTCCTTTGACTAAGATAATCTTTGTACTTAGTACCATCAAAATCAGAAATAAATGAAGGGTAACCATATCAGAGGCTAACAACTAGAAGGGCGCTTTTGTAAGTCACAGGACACAAATTCTATTTTCACAATAAAAATGCAAAATACAGACACACAAATGTGATTGACTTAAAATTGAAAGTAACGGCAGCATTATTTCATCTGTATGTGAAATGAAGGTTTCAGAAAAAATGGATAGATGTACACAAGAAAATGCATGTTCACGTGTCTCCCTTAAACAGGTTAGCTGAAAACAACAAATTTAATTACCATATTTGACGTAATAAGCGCCCTGCTCTGATAAGCACCCACGGCGATATTTGCTAATATATTGGCTAGTGAACAATCCCATTTACCACCCCTTCCGATTGATCAATGTACACAAGACTTATTTATTCGCGTATAGTACACACTTGAGTGTCATATGCCCACTTAATTATGGGCAATTAAATTCTGGAAAAATATATCTGTCGCATATACCGGTAAACATTTCAGACTGTCAGCATAAACCACAAAATTTATCTTTCAACTGTTTTTTCACCAAAATAATATTCTGATAAGAGCCCCCTATTTCTAATTTTGAGAGCGCCCTGGGCACGTATTACATCGAATACGGTAAATCCTATTTTTCCATTGACATAAATATTTTCTTCATCATATTTTAGAAAACCTTTTTTAAGGTTGATGATAGTAAAATCTTGACGTTGAGACTTGTTACAAAAATATTGCTGGCAGAAATATATTCCTGTTGGAATCAGAATACATGTATCATAAAGAAATCATTCATGCTACAAAAGTTCAATCAAACATATATTTGATCACATCCTCATTCTAAGTCTTATAAATATAATCTTAACAGTTACAGAGGAACTTGACATGACATTGTTAGGATACACAGGGAAGATACAACACACTTGAGAACATCTTCACCAAACAATGATTGTCCACAACAAATGAACATCACATGTATCAGCAGAACATTTGGCACTGTGAACACAAGCTACATTTATGTTTTGTTTCTTTGTTTGTTGTTTACTGCCGCACTCAGCAATATTCCAGCTATATGACGGCGGTCTGTAAATAATCGAATCTGGACCAGACAATCCAGTGATTGACATCATGAACATTGATCCATGCAATTGGGATATGATGACATACATCAACCAAGTCAGCGAGCCTGACCACCCGATCCAATTAGTCGCCTCTTACAACCACCGTCAAGCTGGAAAATTGCTGAGTGCGGCTTAAACAACAAACAAACAAACCATACTGGTTGAATATGACACAGGGCTGTAACGCTAGTTAGGTCATGATAAAATACAAGCTACAATAGTGAAAACCTTGTATGGCCATATTCTGTAAAACTAAATATATTTGGTGACATGATTGTGAAAATGTTTGTTTGTTTACTCTTAAACGCCATATTTACTGCTACATGTATATAGCAGCTGGGGCATAATCAAATCCTGACCAGACAAGCAGTGATTCATATGACACCAAGTCACTGGTCTGACCACCAGATCCATAGATTACTAGGGACTAGGGCTGGGACGAGTCCAAATTTACTACCCGGGTACCCACCCCACTATTACCCAACCCTACCTGGGTACCCACTGTAGGTCTCAAGAGATAGGTACAAATAGGAATAGTTTGACTGTAGCCCTGGCAAAATGTATTTAGATACTCATAGAAAACGATCTGGTCATGCATACATTGAAGTTGAGTGAAGTTTTATCTCTATTCAAACATATAAAGTCAGAAGGAATGGATGTATAGTCAGAAAGAAATTCGAACACTAGTCACTTCTGGTGTAACCGTTGAAGTTCTAGAAATTTTTTGCCATTAAACAATATATCACATGACTAACCACAGGTCCGGGTAGTCCTGTGTGTATCCGGGTCCTACTCAGGAACCCTCTGACCCCAGTACCCGAGTTACCCGTCCCAGCCCTACTAGGGACCTGTTCTAACCCAAATGGTGGAACTTATAATCTTCCCTGTACTTGGGCAAGTAAACTTTCAAAATTTTATTGGTCCATACTAATAGGCTACTCATCAAGAATTGTATAGACACCTTTACTTCAGTTTGTGTTTGGCTTTTCGCATTACTTATCACAAATCAGTATATGACGTAAGAATTGCGCAGCTCAACATACTATCGGAATAATACCCTTATCAATAGTTGAGTAGTATTCATCATACTAAAGCCCTGCTCCAATGAGCGACCCCGGACCCACTTCTACATCAATATGAAAGTAAGTGAGTAAGTGAGTATGGTTTTACGCAAGAACAATGGTGAATCGTTACACCACTAATTGCCTGTCAGGTTTCTGGGCAGATTGGGTCCCAAGTACTTGCCTTAAATGGGGACTGGAGTAAATGATTGACTGAATATGTGTTTACGTTGCTTTTAGCAGTATTCTAGCAATATCACAGCAAGGGACATCAGAAAAGGGCTTCACACATTGTACCCTTGTGGGGAATAAAACCTGTGTCTTCGGCATGACAAGCGGACGCTTTAACCACTAGGCTACCCCAACCACCCCTTAATGGGGACTGGATGGTGAGGCTCTGACGTGCTGAGTGTGCCTGCGTACACCAACAGCATGGTATGTTGATCATGCTACTAAATCCACTGGTTTGCCTGGCCCAGTTCCATTACAGTCCACAGTGAAGCAGCTGGAATATTGCTGAACAAACAAACAAACAAACAAGACACCAATGGTAAAAACAGTTTACCTGCAGCACCTGACACAGTTATTGCTTCCAACAACACAGCGTTAGAAATTGGCACTAGTCCTGTAGTCCTTGCCAAAGTGTTCAATAGTTAAAGTATCATAAGGACTAGTAGAAATTTGTCATTAAGGGTTTTGCTATATGTTACCATTAAAAGGACTAATGGACTAAAAATGTTAGTTTTTACCACTGTGACATGTACTAAAGTGATTATATACATGAAATCTGCAACAAAATGTCATATTAAATAAGCACTTTCTTGCCTCAGACATAATGCTAACTTCTATATCAATTTATGTTCAACCCTGTGGCAAGTCCAGGTTCGAATTGGACCCCTGCAACCTATGCTGGTCGTAAGAGTTGACTACATGGATCGGATGGTCTTGATAGGTTTATTTTCTTCATTTCAGTAGTTATATAAACAATGTATACAGAGGGTATTTAAAGTAACAACAAGAGAATGTGTGTCTTTTTTGTGTGGGCAATTTTCTTTCAAACTTTGCAAAACTATCTGTGACTCGGTTGATGACTTGTCAATGTGCCGTCATGGCATGGATCATTGCTATTAATATCAAACACTGGTTTGTCTGGACTAGATTATATTACCGGCTGCCATCATATAGCTGGGATACTGCTGAGTATGGCATTAAACAACGTAAACAACAAGTAAACAAAACAATACAAACTAAATATCGTCACACTTGATGTTCTTGTTTCCATTATATACATTATCTGTTCCATTTCAAATATAACTGAGAACCTCTAAACACCATTTCCCACGCATCATCCCACACTCCCCACTGCCCCTCAATATAAATCATTCTTCTCTAACAGACAATCTGAATCCTTTTAACTGATTCCTAGCATTCAAAAGCTCAATTACAAAGAAATAGATTTTTCATTATGTTGGACCGTTGCTTTGCAACTATTCTCCTTATTTTCAAAACATTCAGAAAACAACCTACATAATAGTTTTGACATAATTTAGATTTTAGATTATTTAAATAATGCCTCTTGGTTTCGAAACTATTCTTCATATTTTCTTGAAAAATATTCAGAAAACAACCTACATATAATAATAGGTTTAATTACACACAGTATTTCTAATTTATGATTTTTCTTTTGCAGATGCCCAGACTCATCTGTAACAAACAACAACGTGGTCCAACTCCCATGAGAACATCAGCCTTATACATTGGAAAACATTCTAAAATGTATTAACTTCTCTGAATCTTAACATGCATCAAGTTCTTTTAATTGAGACATTTAGTCTCAGACTCAAACTCAAGTATACTCGTGACATCCCTGAGTATTGTAAGGCATTTCTGTTGTATATATAAAACACAGGTAGATTTGTTCATATTAAAATCAATTATGGCAGAACTAACTAAAGTAATGTCTAACTCCATTCGTGACCAACTCGTGTTATTCCGGGACAAGCCGAATAGCGACTCGTGCCCCTCTCATGGCCATTTTTGCGACCTGGTTCCGTCTTAGCGCAAACGGGCATACCTAAAACAATTGTCAACTCGTTGCCTAATGGTTAACATATATTTCCCCATATATTATATATATTTCAGGTGTAATTTAAATATACATAGACATGCAGAATTATACAGTGTGAGTGAACACATGTAACTGTGTCTTGGGTATATTTTTAGATGCAAGACATATGTAAAATCAAAAAGTATTTCTGAGGGATTCTTTGACGAAGAACTTGAAATCATGCTCGCATTCTGATTGGTTTGTCGTATTTTCGCACATAACATTCATCGATAGGGGGACTAGTCTTCTTGCAGGGTACGGAAAGGGGCGAATGGTGACGAATGGTCTAACTCATTACCGCTTTCAATTGATTGTCCTTGATTTTCAGTCAGATGAGCCAAAGATATTACACTGAAATGCTTTTCAAAGCATATCACTCAGTATTATCAGTCATCCTATTGTTCTTTAAGTGTGTATTTGTTCCCAGACATCCTGAACAACCAAACACCCCTACATAAAGAGTGTTAAGTCCATTCAAAGTGGCAAACATGTGGTCAGTGCGCTTGTATACAGTTGATCTCATTGAAATAGAGGGCAGAAGGTGGCATCCTTGCCCATACTTCCCATAACTGTTGATGAATTACTTATGTCAGAAAAAGACAGACAAATTGAGAAATTGCACTCTCGTGTATAACTTTCACAAAAACACCCTTGCTCAGTCTTTTTGCCTGACAGTGAACCCTGGGACACCTGACATAGAGCACCTTTATTATTATTCAAAGACTTCAGATCTTCACATGACACAATCAGCAGATGATGTGTGTGAGATCACGTCACAACAGGTGACATGTGAGGTAACAGCAAAACAGGTGACACACAGCATGTGAAATCAGGACAGGTGAGTCCTTGCAAAGACATTGTACTGACATCAACGCATAAAGCAAGTGTACATGACTGATAGACGAGGCCTGTGCTTTAGAACACTTCAGCGCACCCTTCCAAGAAGAATACATGAGGAGAGTGACAACACCCTCTTTTTGCCAGGCATACAACATGCTATCTTACAATATTGATAGTGTGAGATAGCATGAGATTCAGAGATCTAAAATATACATATTTCTCCATGCTTGACTGTGACAAAGTCATCTGGCTTCAGTCCTGCCTTTGATACCTCTTCGACGAGGGTTTCTTGAGGCTCCAAGTAGTGCTGAAACAAGTTCATATGGTCACTGTTATTTATGAAAAGAACAATAAAATGTTGTTTTCCATCACATTACAACTGCATCATGGCAGCATTGAAATTATACTCAAGTCTGACCAAACAAATAGTCCATAATACAATAACAATAATACATGCTAACAGGGTATGATGACACGCAATCAATGAATCACATATTTCAACAGGTGAGGTGAAGTGGGGTTTAATGTCGTTTATCATCCAAAACTGGCTCCCACAGGAGATATTGCTTGGATGAGATCAAGCGATATCTACACTGTAGATATTGCTGCAATGAAATTACATCACAATGCTTTGCAGACCATTGTGACATCACTGGTTACCATGACATCACAATCAAATGACATCACTATCTATCTATCCACCAGACTATGTCGCTGGTCACATATGAATAACAGCTTCGGGTACTGAGAACCTACTCCATCAAGCAACCCCCAAAATGTTATTGTGCTTTTCGACATATTTTGCATGTTAAATCCTGTTGCACACATATGGCTTCAATCATGGTGATCTTACACTTAGTATCGAATGTAACACTTGTTTGATTGTGATCATAAATCCATCAAAGATATGATGTTGAAAAGGTTCCTTACAGTTTTAAGATATTTTTAACATGAAGGTCATTAATATTGTCAGGTCTAATCAAAATTTGATCCTAAAAATAACATTTTTCTTTTACTCTCAGTCCTAATCTGATGTCCGTCATAAATTCATGCACTGAAGTCCATTCTTTAATGATGAATAACGTATAATGACTGAACAGTCCTACCTCATACGCCATCATGTTGAAGGTGCCCCAGTGGATGCCGACTGATTTGACGGCTCTGATGTCGCGGTGGATCTGCACCGCCTCCTGTGGGCCAACATGTTGCGGAGACAGGAACCAGCTGAAGGCAGAGGGGATACCATGGCATTATACTGGCTAACCAAACAATTGTGATTTACATTTAGGCTTCCATAAACCCAAATATATAGGCCACTGTTTCCTGATTACCTGAAAAAAGAATGGGTGGAGCTTGTGTTGTTATTAGGATGAACAGTGATGTCGCGGATTCTGTATTGTTGTCTACATTTTTGGTGTGTTAATGACTAAATTTGGAGTTATTACTGACGACATATTCATTAATAAGAATTGACTTCAATATGTTTTTGAGCGTATGGAGTTGTAAACATAAACACTGGTGTGCATACTTTGCATATAGAGTGTGCACTGTTTTGTTTGTTTATACAGGGATGAGACCGCCTCCGTGGTCTAGTGGTAGAGCGTTCGCCCAGGGAGTAGAAGGTCAGGGGTTCGATCCCCGGCCGCATCATACCAAAAGATGTAAAAAGATTGTACTTGTTGTTACCCTGTTGCGCCTGGCATTAAGGGGCTAAAACAAGGACTGGTCAGCTCGGAGTCAGTATACTGTGTCTGAGTGGGGTATTGTTAAACTGCGGCATGGTATATCAGTGGGCTAGGACTATACACTATACACACACACACACACACACACACACACATGCATGTCACTATATAAGTGCAGTAATCTTGCGTTGCAACGTTAAACCCCATTTCACCTCACCTAATAGAGAGGAGAACACTGAAAGTTAGGCGGGGTACTAAATGACCAGTGATTCAAGGCATAGGTAACCATACAGACACCACCAATGACATGCAATCAGTCAACCAGTTCTACCTTACATGACAAGGGACCCGTGAAGATCCGGGGTAGAAAAGATCTTCAGCAACCCATGCTTGCCGTAAAAAGCGACTACCTTTATTTTAATCTGCTTCAACGATTTCATTAATTACTTTTTTCTTCGTATACTTGTTTTTGTGCTCCACATAAATTGTTGAAGTCCTTCTTTGCCTGTACATATTTAGAACAACGTATGCTGTTATTTGTTTTCCTGATTTTTTCAGTAAATGATATACTTATATGAGTTTGCTTGCTCACATTATTCATCAAACCACTTAGTCTGTAAGGAGACTATGCTTGTCGTAAGAGGCGACTAAACGGATCAGGTGGTCAGGCTCACTGACTTGGTTGATGCATGTCATCAATCCCAATTCTGTGGATCGATGTTCATGATGTCAATCACTGGATTGTCTGGTCCAGGCTCGATTATTTACAGACCGCCGTCAATATAGCTGGAATATTGCTGATTGCGGCGTTAAACAACAAACAAACCAAACAAGAAATACACGACAAGGATACTGGGAACCTATTTTTCCCTGGACTCCCCAAAGGGCTCATGACAACATTAACTGAGCAAGGTTGCACACACAGAGTTCTATGGATTTGCACTAGAAAATGGAACGAAAAAAAGGACATAGGTGAGAAATACAAACATAATTCTATGCAGAAGTTGACATTTGCAAGTAACCTTTAACATCCTTTTGATAATACTTTTTCCCTAAAGTTATCTTTGCATTGAAATTGTACACAATATAATTCATGCATGATACAGCAATAATTACCACTACATTATTACACTCAAAGGCAAAAGGACAAACAATTTGCCCTCTACATATATCATTGTACACATAATATGCAAACCTTGGCTTAAAACATCCAATTGGAATAGCAGCAAGTGTAAAGTTTCCATATTTCCAGCCAATCTGTTTGAACACTTCACAATAGCCAGTGTCTCCTCCAAAGTAGAAACTATGCTTTGGACCAATCACAGCCCAGCTGGCCCACAGTGCCTGAAGTGAATAAAACAACCCTTATGTAATATGGCATATACGTCAGGGATAGCAATGAGAAATATGACACAACTCAGATAGATATTAACAAATATTTGTTTGTTTGTCGATTAACGCTGCACTCAGCAATATTCCAGCTATATGACGGCGGTCTGTAAATAATCGAGTCTGGACCAGACAATCCAGTGATTGACATCATAAGCATCGATCCACACAATTGGGATATGATGACATGCATTAACCAAGTCAGCGTGCCTGACCACCCGATCCTGTTAAGCTTCTTATGGCAAGCGTGGGTAGCTGAAGACTTATTCGACCCCGGATCTTCACGGGTTATATTAACAATTAGCAATTAACACCTATTAATTACTGTGTTATATCTCTGCATCCAATCATTTTCTTACACTACATAAGTAATAGGTGTGTTACCTTTTATGATCACACAGACCAATTGAATGTACCTGACCTACCTTATTCACCCGTTAACCTACCTACCCACCTGCCCACCTATACCTAAACACCTACCTACTCACCCACCTGCCCACCTATATACCTCAACACCCACGTACCTTTATTATCCAGTGCATTATTTTTATGACAAATACTACAGACCCAAACGACACCAAAGCTTTGAATACCATTGATGTATTGTGACTTTCATACTGTAACAGCTCAATCACTTACATACCTTATTAGTATCTGTAAGTGTCCTCTTGCACCAATGCTGGCATGGCGTGCAGACAACCTTCACCTCTGACCTTCCTGTGAAAATATTTTCATCCCACCAGGACAACTCGACAACATTTTCACATCCTCGATCAGACATCCATTTGCCGATTCCTACAGGAACGTACCATCTCAGATTCTTACCGTACTTCCTGTTCAATGCCTCCACCGAATACCGGTCCAAGTGATCATAGTGGTTATGGCTCACTACAACAATATCTATGTGGGGCAATTCTTCTATAGTACATGGCGGGTCACGGTAACGTTTAGGTCCCATGAACTGCACGGGAGAGCACCTGCTACTGAATATTGGGTCTGTCAGTATCGTGACACCATCCACTTGCACCAGCGACGAGGCGTGCCCAATCCACATGTATCTCACACCCGTGGAAGGCGGGTTTGAGAATTCTTCAAGGTTGGGTTTGATGATGGGAAGGGTTCTATCGAGTTCCTGTAAAAATAGATCAAATATTTTGGGCAAGAAGGCAAAAATCACAGATGATTCCGATCAAATCAGAAGTCATGTATAGTCAAATCAATGTTTTTTGTTTGTTGTTTAAGGCCACACTCAGCAATATTTCAGCTATATTACAGCGGTTGGTAAATAATCAAGTCTGGACGAGACAATCCAGTGATTGACATCATGAACATCAATCTACACAATTGGGATACGATGACATGCATCAACCAAGTCAGCGAGCCTGATCATCCGATCCTGTTAGTCACCTCTTATGACAAGGGTAGTCGCCTCTTACGACAAGCATAGTCGTTCAAATCAATGAGAGCCTCATCTTAAAATGAATGGTTTATAATGGAGACAATCACTTTATCAGGAATTTAACTAGAATTCCACCCTAAACACCCTTGGTAGTTAAACTAAGGAAACAAGTTATCTGATCAAAAATATTCTAATTTTATATTTTCTTAAAGTTAGAAGCAATTTGATATTTTATTCAACGCAATAATACTAAGCATTAAAACCTTTTTCTATTCATTGGTCCTGTTATCAGTGAAATACATGCAGAAGTTACCTCTGCCATAAGTGAGGTGAGGTGAAATGGGGTTTAACGTCGCGTCCAAGATTATTGCACTTATATAGCGACGTGCATGCACGAGTATGTCTGTGTGTGTGGCTGCTTGTACTAGTCCGGACTGATGCCGATGTATAGTGCTAGCACACTGAGATACCATGCCGCAGTTTACCATGAATACCCCACTCAGACACAGTATACTGACTCCGAGCCGACAGTCCTTGTTTTAGCCCCTTAATGCCGAGCGTTAGACAGGGTAACAACAAGTACCATCTTTTAACGTCTTTTGGTATGACGCGGCTGGTGATCGAACCCCGGAAGTTCGGCTCTCCGGGCGGACGCTCTACCATTAGACCTGCCATAAGTAATAACATTAATAACATTTATTGGAAATATCATTTTTCATATTGGGGTATTCTTAAGGACATATGCAGCAGGCTTCGGGACAAATATCTGCCTCTGACAATGTGTTGATAAATCCCTGCTACATAGTGTAAACATTTGAGTGGGGTCTTTGTGGTTTATTGCATTAGCATTTAAATCAAAGGATCCCCGAAAGCCCTGGTAGAAATGTTTACTATTTCAATATGGACAGGGCAGTGATCATAGCTACAGACTGAGATTATAATTCATTATCCCCAGATCTTGGCACAGGTAAGGGGCACAACTCCACACACTGAAATGCTGTTCCATGGGCTATTGGGCAAACTGGGCCACACTTCAATTGTAACACTGTTAATGGTGTACCTCTGTTTGGGGATCCTCCTTGTTCTCCCTTCCTCTGGCAAATTTAATGAAGTTCCAAAAACTGTTGTACCTCCACGTATCCCATGGGTTTTTGTATCGACCATTCTCAAAGAGAGGCTTGGTAAGCTCCATCTGCTCACTGTCTGACTGGGTATGCGAGGAGTCCAGCTCGGGCCGATCTGTCTCTGTTGTGGCCATTTCTACATGCACTTTCATCTGTGGCAGCCACTGAACAAAGCTGCAATAGGAATATGCGGTGACATAAAAATCATTCATTAACATAATCAGTTTGTCATAACTGAAACCATATATGGCATGTTTTATTTTCAAGACATTACATGTGTAAGTAGCTGTTGAAATCTTGAAAACTTGAAATCATCTATTCCTGAAATGAAAATGTCTCAGTTATTGCCTATCAATGAGTGTTAACATTGAATTATGTATAGACGTATGAAAAGTTGAACAAATTATATAAACTCCTAACGGCAAATAGTACTTGCTTCAGATGCAGCTGGACACAAAACCTTGTGGCTGATACTTCTTGTGATGATGGATCATGATTACAAACCAACACTACCATCAACTGTTCCGATCCATCATGATTCCCTAGTCTGCAATTTAGTATTTAATTAGCTATTTAAGGCTATATACCCTAATCTCAATATCTCCTCCATAAGGGATGAAACTGTACCTTCAAATCTTATCGTTATTATTCATCTCATTGTACATTCCATAACCCACGGACGTATATACATGTACGTCTTTGCATAACCCAATATCGATTGGATAATCTCAGTGAATGAACTTACCTACTTAAATACTAGTGAATGCCCGAATACCCGGTAGAGCACGATGAGCTGGAATTTGCTGTGTCATTGTGTAGCAACACATGACTGCATAATGTCACAGATCTCAGAATAGTTCCATTCAGTGTGATACTGCCTCAGCCATGTCAGCTGTTAAGTCAATAATCCTTGGTGAATCAAAAACTGGTATTGGCTCTCCAGGTGGAATAGGATTCTGTTGAAAACACAACACAGGGTCATAAATATTTGGAATGTGAAAGTTAAGATCTGGTTAATAGCACTCATATTATGTCACATGTATATATATTGTATCAAAATAGTTGCTTTGATATAATATTCACAATAATACCAGTTTATTAACATACTTTCCTTCATATTTGGTTTAGAAAATCACTCTTTCATGTGTGGGTTAATAGAAATGCTACTATGAAGAGTATATGAACATAGATGAATACAAAAAAAAGAAAAACATATAAATCTTATCTCAAAGGATTAAGCAAAATAGAACAATGCTTACAATTAAAGTAATATATTTGGTAAAGTAATATATCTCTGTAAGACATTCTTTAGGCGCAAAATGTGGTTGTACCTGTATGTTTACTTAAAAATTTCAATGCCTATTCTTCTATGCCTCATTTTGCATCACAAACTGTCCAATTAATATCACTAGGACTACAGTTCCATGTGACCTTATGGCAGTGCATGTTGTTTGCCCTCTGTCCCAAATGTTTATCTGTCCATCTTTAAACTTTTGATGTCTCTGAACTGGCTGTTTCCCAGCTAACTCTCACACATTACCAGTTGTGACTCACATTTGGCATGTGAATCCCATATTTTCATTATGCTCTCATGATCTTATGATCACTACAGGAAACTCAAACATATTTTTGTTAAATATACAAAAAACAAAACAAATCCAGAAGAAACTTTCAACCAGAGGGCTTAAGTCTTGCTCAAAATAGTTAAAGCCATTTTGGACGCATTAAACCAAATCCATTACCACGCCAGCCACCTGCAAACATTTCGGGTTGGCTGCTATGTAGCTGAAGGAATTAACATGAAACTGTAACACTTGTTTGTTTGCTTTTTAATACTGCATTCCTGCATCCAACTATATTCCAGCTACTTGACAGCATTAAACCAAATCCACCACCACGCCACCCACCTGCAAACATTTCGGGTTGGCTGCTATGTGACTGAAGGAATTAACATGAAACTGTAACACTTGTTTGTTTGCTTTTTAATACTGCATTCCTGCATCCAACTATATTCCAGCTACTTGACAGCATTAAACCAAATCCACCACCACGCCAGCCACCTGCAAACATTTCGGGTTGGCTGCTGTGGCTGAAGGAATTAACATGAAACTGTAACACTTGTTTGTTGGCTTTTTAATACTGCATTCCTGCATCCAACTATATTCCAGCTACTTGACAGCATTAAACCAAATCCATCACCACGCCAGCCACCTGCAAACATTTCGGGTTGGCTGCTATGTGGCTGAAGGAATTAACATGAAACTGTAACACTTGTTTGTTGGCTTTTTAATACTGCATTCCTGCATCCAACTATATTCCAGCTACTTGACAGCATTAAACCAAATCCACCACCACGCCAGCCACCTGCAAACATTTCGGGTTGGCTGCTATGTGGCTGAAGGAATTAACATGAAACTGTAACACTTGTTTGTTGGCTTTTTAATACTGCATTCCTGCATACAACAATATTCCAGCTACTTGACAGCAACCTGTAAATAATCAAGTATGGACCAGACAATCAAGTGATTGATAATATCAGCATAATATCAACTTACTGATAAATTTCAACAATTTATGCCATTATTGGGGTCTGATCACATGTTATCAATCATGTCACTGAGGCTGACCACGCGATCCACCACTTGCAACAAACAAAGGTTGCTGGGAATGTTTCTTTTTTTTAATGAAGAAAACAATCAAATCTTCTTCTTAGAAACCATTACGTCTAGGATTCTAAGAAATTGATGTGATATCTAGCAACACAATGGTATTCAGATTTGATATTGCCAGTATAACATAATAAATGGTAAAAATTTCTACTTGGATGTCTAGGAGGGCAGCGACAGTAACTTGGGTACTTGGGTCGGGTGGGTACTGGGTAGGACCCAGGTACCCACAGGACTACCCGGACCCATATCAACAATATAACATTGACGTAGTGCTGTCCTCTCACATCAAACAGACCACATTATAAAGACAAATAACAACCACACTCTCAATCCTTAATCAATTGCTAAAGATTTAGCAGGGCGCGGAGTCATCCCACAGATGACATCTTTACCTTATCAGCTTGCTGACGGGGTTAACCTCTTTGGTCATGTGGACAAAGCGTCTGACCTTGGATCAGAAGGTCCGTGGTTCGAATCCCATCACGGGACCAGAAACTTTTATGGCCACTACATTGAAGCCCAACGTGGGGCTGAGCATGTTCATATTAAATTTGAGCAAAATAAGCCTCAGTACCCTACTATGCGGCCTGGGACATGCCTTCTGTTGACGGGGGAGTATGTAGCAGGGCGTGGAGTCATCCCGCAGATGACATCCTTACCTTATCAGTTTGCTGACAGGGTTAACCTCTTTGGTCATGTGGACAAGGCGTCTGACCTCGGATCAGAAGGTCCGTGGTTCGAATCCCATCACGGGACTCGGAAATTTTATGGCCACTACATTGGGCATGGAGTCATCCCACAGATGACATCCTTACCTTGTCAGCTTACTGATAGGGTTAACCTGTTAGGGTCATGTGGACAAGGTCCGTGGTTTGAATCCCATCACAGGACTTGAAAAAGTCTTGTAATGATAAAGCAGACTATCACTTTCTATGAATATGTTAATATAGCATCTTCTACAGTTTTCATAAGTCTATTTGGAATTATATTTATTAAAAAAATGCCATTTCGAGGGACAAACATTGCAGTTTTTCGCGTTCCTCTATTTGATAGTTGTTTTGACGTTTAGTCGCATCAGAATTAGCATCTATCTCGTCTTTGTTTAACGTGTCTCTTATGCCTGAAGATGCATTCTATTTTTAGTAGTTTGGCCTTGTTGATGAAAAGGCTTATTCCAATTTCCATAGTAGATTCTATCTAGATCTATCAAGCACACGTCTGTGACCGTGTGTCATATTTCTTTCTCTCACACCCAACTAAAACCCTTTTGACACATTTATATAATCATACTCAAAGCCCTTGTCAATATATAAGAAAAGCATACGGCCATACATATAAAACACTTGATGGTTTTACTAACAAAATTCGTCTGCTAGAACTAGCACCTGCCATCCAAGGGCACATAACTCTGATGAAGAATAGAAACGCTTTGGATAGCTATAAAGAAAGGATCAATTATTACGAAGTGGGATGGAACTGTGAATGTTATTTAATTCACAAAATGTGATGAAAAAAACGACAAATATAATGTTATAATAATCATAGACAGGTAAGACATGTAAATGGATGAACTATCAATTAGTTCTACATAATTAAGAAAAAAAACAACTGACATTAACGTAATTGCAAGAGTTCCTTCGTAAACAAATAGCACACCTGTATGTAAAATCATATTTATTCCCACTTATTGGGTATTGCCCATTTTATTGTTATTGCTGTCGGTGTGGTTATGCTACGGTGCCGTTTCTTGTTTGGCTGGTGTTTTCGTTTCATATGTGAGAATACTTTTAGCAAAACTCTCTTTGCGCATGCCCTTTCGACGTTTTCGCCGGTCAAGATGGCGACTCATCTGTTGAAGGTCACGAATACACTGACAAAAGTGTTGCCGAAGACATCAAGGGTAATAAATTAAGCGAGAATATAGTCATACTGAAAGCATAATCATAAATCTATTTATCTGTATCCTGAGACAATAGGATCACTGCCATATGTGTGAAACGTTTTGCATGTCCTTTTCACCTTTCGTGGTTATGAATAACAACTTTCAAAACGCATGATCTTGCGACTTTGGATACAAAACTACAAATGTTCCGACATAAACATGATTGCTAATGTATGAATTGCGAACGTCTCAATTGTTTGTCGAAGTTAGAGATTTTTTCAGTATTATCTTCTGTCAATATCTTAACGACAGCTTAACACCAAACATTTGCGAAAGTTATGCAAAACTCAGCAAGTATCCTAAGTTCGTGACGTTATGTGTACACGCGCTTTTGACTATTTTTTTTATATATGGAGAACGTCACAAAGATATATGTTGAGCTCTTTCAGAACCAGTTCTGTCACTTGTGTTGCGAATCGACCGTAAAATTTGTGACTGATAATGAACTGACAAAATACTAGCTAGGTTTTGTATTGAACTGATGTAATATGAATATGTTTATAGCAGTGCAGACTGGTTGGTAAAGTTTGGAATCGGTTGGGATTTTAGCAATGTCATCAGTCATTGGTCATACAGTCATGCCCCGCTTATACGGACTTCAGATATCCGGAAACCTCGGTTTCCAGACGATTTTCATTCAAAACGAAATAATTACTATATAAATTTACCCGTATATCCGGAAATTCAGTTTCCGGAACCGGACGGTCATTTTCATTCACAAAACACTGAAATGCACACAAAATTGTCTCACTTATCCGGACTTTACACTTCCGCTGGTGGTAATCCTTCCGCTGGTGACAAGTGACACTGAGTTACGTTTGAGACGAGCTTGTTTATTGTACATGTAATCCCCTTCGATAAATATGGCGTCTGTGGAGGTCAGAGGTTGTGTAAGTATGGCCTGTCAACCAGCGAAACGTAAGTGACACGCAGTTACAGCACGCGAAAAAAGGGAAATTTGTCTGTTTAAAGAAAAACACCTGTCAGCAAGTTTAGAAACCATCAGTAAGCATTATGGCACTGAATTTGGACATACCATAGGAAAATCGACAATTGGTGACAGTTCAAACTTCCATGACAAACTTTTTGAAACGTGTATGAATAAAGATTGAGTGGATGTATCTGTTTGCTCTGTCATCTGCCATGAGTTGCATAATTGAAGGGAAGTAACTCTTCCAGTAAGAAGCTGGTTTCAGTTATACGGAAATTCGTTTATACGGATGAATTGTGAAATGACACAAGTGTCCGTATAAACGAGGCACGACTGTATATGCTTTTACAGGGATTTACCTAGGTTATTTATTTTGGGGGCGAGGGGACTCAAAGCCTTTACTTGTAGGGGTCACAAACTTCAAAATCTGGCCGCCAGAGAAATACAACATATTGAAAACAGTACTACATAACATTGCACATGCTCAGAGGCCATTAGTAAAACGGGTGATGAGGTAGCCTAGTTGTTAAAGTGTTTGCTCGTCACGGTGAAGGCCCAGTGTAGATTCCACATTGGTACAATGTTTGAAGCCCATTTCTGGTGGCTCCCTCCATGATATTGCTGGACTATTGCTTAAAGCAGCATAAAACCATACTCACTCATTAGTTAAACATAGATATGAAGATCAAGCCAGTATCCCAAAGCCCAAGTCTTGTAAAATTCTGTTCAGTTTAGTAAGATCAGCTTATATATGATAACACTAAACATGCAAAAAGTAAAATAATACTTAAAATGACATTGAATGCCTCAAATTTTTTTGGCGCAGACGTAGATTGTGAACAGAAACATTCAGCTGCACATTGTATTTTTTAACTAAATATGTATGAAAATATATTGAACTTTAAGTGGTACCAAATTATGAAATACCAGCATTCGTTCATCATACAGACAAATATTATGTGAATCAAACTCACGGGTCATGGATCAAGTTCCCCATAACCTATGGTCAGTTATTATCCCCCGTCCAACGAAGTTGGCGGGGGATATAGAAACGGGCTCCGTCCGTCATGTTTCGTTTCCGGAGCATAACTCATAAACAGTTCAATATTTTTTCATGAAACTTTGCAGGGCTGTCAGGTACATGCTGAATTGGTGCCTTTCGCTATTGAGAAATTTTAGAAATTTTTATTTTTTACGTTTCCATGGCAACAAGATGGACTTAGGTTCTGTGAGGGTAGGGTTCGTTTCCGAAGCATAACTCATAAACCGTTCAATATTTTTCCATGAAACTTTGCAGGTCTGTCAGGTACATGCTGAACTGGTGCCTTTTGCTATTGAGAAAT